TAAGAGATTTTAACAAAAAACCAAACTTTTTAGAAAAAAACCAGGGACTAACTTTGAATGTAAAAATGGATTCATTAACCATTGGTAAGCATGGGAAAATTGNAAAGGGGTTAAATCACAGGCATATCATAGAAGTGATTTCATGGTTTATAATAGGACATATTTAAAAGGGCCCCAGGGATTTATCCTAGTGGTGATTCCATGGCCAATTTACACTACGAAGTACAACTTTATATGTCAAAGTTTATTAAAATCATTTAAATATCTGAGTTAAAATTAAAGTAGCTGAACCTATAAATGAACTGTTATCAAGTTTTGAATCAACAGGATGGGGAAGGGGGAGGCAAATAAGCCCAGATAAACCCAGGTATATTAATTGTCATCTTATGTAAACAACACTGAGGCACATGGGGAGTGCCATATATACAAGAACCAAACTGATTTTACTTTAATTTTGTTTGCTTATGAAAATGTATCAGTACCAGTTATCTGTGTATTTTGTATTTTCACTTAAATATTTGCAATTGGCATTTAGCAGGTAATTTTTTTTCTTCTAAATATTGCCAAAGTCACCCAATTTTCTTTGAATTCATTCGATTAGATCTGATAGTAGGTTTATCTCATCTGTTTATTTGCTTAGTCCTTCTTCAACTCGGCTTACCTTTAAAGCAATCACTTTGTTCAAGAATTTTGTTTATTTAGGGCATAGCAAATAAAGGGTTTTCTTGTAAGTGGACTATTCCTTACATGGGAAATCATAAGTTGGTTCTGGAAATTCTTTTATGACAAAGTTTAATCTCCATACTGTGGTTTCTTTTTAATTTTTTAATTCTAAGAAAAACAGTTTTATATACATGGAAATTTGGCAGAGATAAATGCCAGCTGGATCTCCCGTGTTCCATATTAGTTAACTTGATATATATCCAGATGTGACAAAGCTGACATCAATAGCTGGAATTGTTCTTATTTCTTTGTATACTGATCTAGACCTCAGGTAAATATTACGTACTCTGAGCAGTATCCACTGGCATTTGTATGTTATTTCAATTCTTTTAGAGCTTGGGCATTGGGAATAATTTCATCAGCTGTGTTATATAGTTAGAATAGAGTTGTGAATTTTCTTCAACTAACAGCTGTACTAGTGATCAGGGGCGGATCCTGAGATATTTTCTGACAGTCTTCCAAATTATCTTTGTTGAACCATCCTCCAGTTTTGACTGTCTTCTTACAGAAAAAATGAGATGCCCTTCAATGTAAACTCTAAAAGAACTGATTGTCTTCCAGAAGACCTAGAAGACAGCTTCTGCTTGCCCCTGACTAATATTGAAAAGTTGTTTCTTAGGATAAACATCAAATTATTTGAGGTAAAGAACAATTTCAGTATTTGTAGTTGATTGAAAAAAATCACTATTTTATTCTCTGGGGCAATGTATATTTTCTCACACATTTATCGAAAGTCCAGTCTGCAGAAACCACTTATCATGCACTGTAATGATATGTGATATGATATAGTTATCTGATGTAGGCTACAGGTGAGTGGAAGTCGGTATATTTGTGATAGATTTATGTTTATTTTGCCCTCTGTTTTGTATTCACACTTCAAATGGCCCAGAAGAAATCCTACAGATTTACCTTGGTGATAACTATAATAAAGCTACTGAAAGCTGAAGACTTCAAATTAATTTAAGGTGATAGGAGAAACATGATCGAATTACATTTAATCATGGTTCTTCTTTGAAAGCAGAGTAGATTTCAGATATACAGACCTGACAAAGCTATCTATAAATAACTTATACACCCCATTTCCATAGATTAGATCGACCTACTTTGGATCGACCTAACTCCCTGGGGGTTCGCGCTGAATAGCTGTCAGCCGGGCGGACACGAAAGTTAATTGCCCCTTACGGCTTGTAGTGGGCGGGGACGGACACTTAAGGGGGATTATCTGACGGTAGTCTGGTGAGACTCCCCGCGGTGATAGATCGATCTAAAGTTGTGGGAACAGACCCATAGACTGGTAGTTCAGTTATGGGAAGCTTCTTCATAAAGCAAATGATTCAGTTCAATTTTTCAAACCTCCATTTACTATAAAAAATGGCAACTTCACATTGTTTTCCTGCAGTATTGATTTTATGGGTAAACATTTTGGTTTTTAAGTGATATTGAGACAAATGGGACTTCATACAGGGAAAATTAATGGGTTTGCTAGGCTAGAATGATCGATGACTGTTACAATGGTTCATAATGCTCAGGGGCGGATGAACTGATGCTCTTTATAGGCTAATAAATGTCAAAATTAAATGTGGAAAATTTGTCTCGCGGACAGTCCCAGGAATAAGTTTGTCATTCTGACTGGTAAAACACATAATTTTGGACTAGAGAAACTGTTGCCCTCATTGAGGAGAAAGCAGCCCAATAGTACAACCAGAGAATTGATCTAAAAGACTGGTATGCTGTGATTTATGATTGGGCGCATTCAGAACCACTTGATTCGTGTACTAACTAGTCCGTGGATCAAATATGGTGCACGCTTGATGATGGATTCCCGCCTCCCATTTCATGTCGTCCCAGCAGGGGCAGAGCAATTAAATCTCGGCACACTTTCAGGTGGGTTGCGCCATATTTGATCAGTGGACTAGTTAGCCGGTGGATTAAATACTGGCTGTGAATGCTGCCTTAGATTTATATCGGTGCTTTTTGGTTAAGGAGGTACATTGAAGTGATCTTATAAATAGAACATCAGACCTGGCCACTAGAATACTAAGAAAAAGAATTATACTTAATCAGGTATTTCCTGTGAGTTGAATTCCATGTCATCCATGCTATAACTGTGCATTTCTGTGAATGCACATACTTAGGCTGAGAGGTACACAAACTTATCACCAAGTGCTGAAAGGTAAATGCTATTATGCATTTTTTTTTAATAATGCAGAATACAGGAACACTGATATGGTGGCTCTCAAATTAGACAGGGTTTTACTGAAAAGCTTGCGGTTGGTTGCCTTGTGAAAAATACATGATACTTAACAAAGCAATAATAAAATGTGCAGTGCAGAATAGATAATTCAGATGTACTTCCCTGCGGCATTCGAGATCAGCCATTTGAGACAACAAAGGCGACATAGACCCATGAAATATTTACAGACAGCAGTTTGCAGCTGTCAAATGCAGGATAAAAATCTTGCATGCTTGGGAGAAGAGGTTCATTGAATTTTCCGAGAACGTATTGATTTTGGTGCAGGCTCGGTCTATTTATACCTGGTTAGGACTTCACAGTTGCTGTTCATCCTGCCACGAGATAATATATATGAAGAGAGAGTCCGCCACGACAACAGAGTCAGGAGCTGGTTTGTTTTTGTTTTTTTTAATGCTTGAATCATCTCTGCCCTACATAACCGGGAAGTTGATTCTATTACTAGTACCAGTACATCCTGAAGAATAACCTGTGTGTGTGTGTTGGGCTGATCACTGCCTCTACCTGCCTGTCAGTTGCAGTTGAACAGGAAACCAAGTACATGTGTTGAAGATTATTCATTGCTCAGTAAGGCTTTTTATGTCTGTTTTCCAGGCCTGGGCTGCATGGAGATATAAATGCAGAAATAGTTCAAGAAGTTATGTGTCCTCTGTAGTGTAATTCTCATACTAAATTTCAGATAGTTGAGAAGACAGATTTTTTTTTCTCTTTCTGTCTTGCTGTCTTTGGGATATTCCAGACAGCCACCATATACCAAGTGAACCGACCTGGCATGTATATTTTATGATTTGGTTATCATTACTTGTCATTTCCAGATGTTCTGCTGTTCAGAGGGTTGCTCTTAGTGCAAAGCCCATTTTTATGCTGTTAAGTCTTTTATAGTCTTTTTTTCAGCTATTGTAAATTGATAAACTGTTTTAATGATATCCAGGTTCCAGCTAATAGGTGCTCAATTGTTGACAAAGAGAGATATGTAATGGCTATAAAACACTGGGTTCTGTACTGTGATGTCTCTGTTTCAAAATCAGTCGATATGATGTTCAGATGGTTTTCAGCTCAGCAGTGATCCACCTTATCACCCCTGCACTATTTTACACAGCTGAATTCTTGGTAATAATGAAACCAGTCCCAGTTTGATCCACGCATGGATACCAGTATGTTGTGGTGTTACATGAAGCGAATCCTCACGCTTAAATATTGTATGCTAATGCTGTCTTCGTAGGTTTGACGGGCAGGAAGTTTTAGGATGCAGACTCTGTGTAACGTGGTATAAAGACCTCAGAAAGGCCAGACAGAAAGGTAAGGGCACTTAAACAACAATTTATGCAATATATGGTGGGTTGGTTTTGGGGGGGGGTTGGGGGGCGGCATAATCAAGGGGAAGAAAAATGTGGGAGCATGTTGAGTTTTTGCCAGATATGAAAGTGAATTTATTTGGCTGGAGAATATAGGGAAGTGTGTGTGTGAAAGATAGAGATAAAGAGAAATCGAAAGGGAGAGAGTGAGCATACAGTAGGTGTGTGCTTACTAGTAACCTGTTCTTTACTGATACCATTTATTTGACCAAAATGAACTTTGTCAATTTTGTCAGATTGAGATTGCATTAATCTGATATTAGGACGGTTTTCCTTTGTATAGCTGTCAAAATGATAATAACAGCCTAACTTTGATTTGATGTGAACTAGTCTGAAATGTGGATGGATATGAAAAAGGACAAGACATATATGTAAAGGGTGGGAATCTCAATTGTCAGACATTTTTTTTTTAAATTTCCATCCCAAAAGATAAGAAATATTTTTATCAGAATTGAAACTTTTGTCACAAACTGTATGGGATTTTTCCAAGAACTAAGAAAACTATTTTTCAGGTACATTTGAACCGTGCATCGATGGAGCGTGGATTCCTATGCAGTAATGCATATAAATCACTTTTTTTTAAAGGTATATTTGAAATGAGCATCGGTGGAGCATGGATTCCCAGTGATGCATATAAACCACTTCTACTAGTTTCTTATACGACTCAAACGAAGTTGACATGCCAAGGGATACTTTGAATTACTCACTCCATCAGCCGTAAAAAACTTTAATATGTACCTTCTTCAAGGTTTTTATCATAAGTTTGACCCACTTATCATGCTGGCCTAATTGTCTGCCAAAAAATTTGTTTTTATTTAGCACAGAACAAGCAGAAAAATCTGTTCAAATATAAATTTTCGGATAATATAAAATGGATGTCTTTTGGTATTGCTGTAAGTTATACTATTTGAAACAACATGGTGGCATTTGGTCGGGGTTTTTTTGGCAAAAAAGACTTCCAATGCATCTTTAATGAATATTTCATTAACTGTCTGCGGCAGACCAAAATGCAATGATCTAAAGCTAGCAATGCAATTCCCATGTTTCTTTCAGTCTATTCATACAGTAAAATCAGGCTACAGGGCATTTGTCCTTATGTGTTTACAGTTTTGCTATTTGCACAGTGTTATATTGCGTGGTCTGGAGGGTTGCCAGAGGGTCAATTCACATAGTCGATACCTATAAAAAGGGACTTTCCCAGTGCATGATAACCTTTGTGAATAAGTCTGCTCAATAGTGGCCTGAAATTTGTTACTAAAAGGGAACTGCACTGACACACTGCACCATTGGTTGACTATCAATATAGGTCACCGATATTGATTTTTTTTTTCGACTAACAGAGGATGAGCTGTTGTTAGTGTTGTGTGTTGCAGGGTGCGTGTGTGTACTGCTCCCAAGTTGACTACGTTGCTGCTGCTGCTGTTGTTGTATGTCTATATGTAGAAATTTGTTTGCTACAGTGTAAACGGACTACACAGACATCAAAATGTGGAGGAAAGACTACAAATTTAATAGGGAAAAGCACAGGCGCTGTGGGTATATTTTATATATTTGTGTTTTGAAGTTTTAAAAAGTGTTACATGTGTCTAAAGTTTGGATTCACCATGCCACTATGTTTACGGAATGAATTTTGGAAGTAAATATAAAAAAATGTGGATAACGTGAAATATTTTTCACAAAGTTCTACTGGACCAGCATTGGCAGTGACAGATGAAATAAATTGTGAGAATCATTAAAAAGGATAATGTTTACTTTTAAGTAAGTAACAGTTCATCTGAGGAGAAGGTAGGTATAGTGGGAAGAGAAAGGTGCAAGGGGTAGCAGAAGGCAGACATGAATAGAATATATTGATTTTTGTGTAGTTGTCGTCANAGTTCTACTGGACCAGCATTGGCAGTGACAGATGAAATAAATTGTGAGAATCATTAAAAAGGATAATGTTTACTTTAAGTAAGTAACAGTTCATCTGAGGAGAAGGTAGGTATAGTGGGAAGAGAAAGGTGCAAGGGGTAGCAGAAGGCAGACATGAATAGAATATATTGATTTTGTGTAGTTGTCGTCATTCTGACTTCTACACGCAAAAAGAAAGCCAAAGAAGGCTGAATATTAGTTTACAGCATCACTTAAAATGACTCTTTTTAATTGCTTTTCTGACCAGTTGATGTCTTAGTTTCACTTTGCTGTTATCTTTTAAAATACTTAAATATGATCACCAGCTTATCTACTTTGACACAGTTATACACAGTTTGAATTCAGACTTGTCACAGACTTGTTGTGTGTTTCAGTTAAATAGTAAATGGTACATATCTGATTTTTTTCTAGTCATCAGGCAATAACCCATTAGTTAAGGCAACCATATATATTAAAAAAAAAAAAGAATTTGGTGGTGGTGCGTGTATATGTGTTTGAATTTTTTTTTTTTATATAATATGCATGTATGGTATCAACTGATAAAATGTATCAGTCAAGATGCTTATAAGACATTTTTTTTATTAACAGTCGACACATCTGTTGCTCACCCTATAACTGCCAGATTGTTTTCTTTTTCACTTTGCTTTGTCGCTTTGTTTGGTAAAAAGGAAGGTTCCTTTAAAAGTCAACATGATCATGTTACTTTTTACAAAAGTTATCATTATTATTGATCATATTGTATTATTTTTACAAAAGATATTATTATTATTATTATTATTATTATTTTTTTTTTTTTTGCATATATCTTTGCTACATGCAGCCCATATGTGCTAATGTATATATTTTTATGAAACTCTCATACATATTGAATGGCTTTGTTTTTGGCAGTTTCACTATGAAAAACTACTATCATCAGATTATTTATACAGTAGTTGTTGTTTACTGAAATGTGTCCATTTCCTTTGATACGGGGCAATAAGAATGAGTTTTTTTATGTTAAGTGTCTGCATATTTGCCATTTATGCTGTGTCCAGTTCCTTTACTACGTACTGTATTCAATTTATTTATTTATTTATTTATTTGGGGGGTTGGGAGGACTCCTAAATGTGAAAGTTTGAGTGTGTTGCACCAAATAAGGTATAATGGCATGTTGCTAGTTTGAGACTTTGTTTAAATTATGATCACTGGACTCTTCTTACATATTTTTTAGCGGTTAACCAAAGAGGTCAACGCTCATTTTCCCCATCAAGAAGGGCCAATTTTACTCAGTTCCCCAATTCAAGGGTAAACAGTTTACGAGCTCGTGCAAACCCCTGGTACAGACGAGGAAACTTTAGCATGCCAAGACGCGGATACACACACAGGTCTCGTAGGACAAGGTCCAAATCTAGGTCAAGGTCAAGGACAAGGTCTAGAAGTAAAAGCCCAAGAAGAAAAAACCTAGTATGAATATACTGTATTGTTTGCTTTTTTTTTAGTATGAATATACTGTATTACAGTTTGATATCTCTCTCTCTCTCTCACTGGCTTAAATTTTGGTTTTACGTAAGATGTATGTGTACAGTATGGGAAAGATTTCAGTATATTTTTGATTTGTTGTTAAGGTTTTATGAATTAGCATAAATATATCTTACAATCAGCAGAATGCCATGCAGGTATTAGAATGTATGATACGTTATTTTACATAATCTGATGTCAGTGAATAAGTATGGCTGAAAATATAAAACAGTGTGTATAAGCTTGGTTTGCAATCCAAGGGTCATTATAATTTACTTAAACAACTGAAGATTTTTTTTTCATTCTTACAGTCTTCCAGTTACAGACATAGTTTGGAAAGAAGTACGGAAAAAAATGAACATTCTTCCCCAGGTAGACAAAAGTCAAGTGAAAGAAGTCAAAGTCGTGATAAAGAAAGACGGTAAGTTGATACTTGGTATCCGCAGTAACTAAAGCACTGGAGAGAGAAATTACATGTATGGATACATGTTTTAAAAGTTTGCCCAGACTGCCTTTCAATTGAGTTAATAAATTTGCTCATAGAGAGCAAAAAAACTTGCAAAAGTTGTAAATTTTTTTTAATTTCAGTTTACTTTTAATTTTTATTCATTTTTGAATCTAGTAATATTTAGATTTAATTACAAATTAAACAAGAAAATGCAAGTTGTACTGGCAGCATATTTATTCTATCTAAATCTAACTTTATTTTACACTGCATTATAATTGCATAAATGATTGCCAAATTTTCTAGTCTATTTCATAAGTAGATATTTGATAATTGTAACTATCTTTTCAAAAAAAAAAAAAAAAAAACGTTGAAAAAATNAGTAATTCTGAATTCTACACGCAAAAAGAAAGCCAAAGAAGGCTGAATATTAGTTTACAGCATCACTTAAAATGACTCTTTTTAATTGCTTTTCTGACCAGTTGATGTCTTAGTTTCACTTTGCCGTTATCTTTTAAAATACTAAAATATGATCACCAGCTTATCTACTTTGACACAGTTATACACAGTTTGAATTCAGACTTTGTCACAGACTTCTTGTGTGTTTCAGTTAAATAGTAAATGGTACATATCTGATTTTTTTTCTAGTCATCAGGCAATAACCCATTAGTTGAGGAAATTATATATATATATATCTCGGAGAAATAAGTCAAAACACCATGAAAAAGTGCTCCACCCATGGCGGCGGCCCGTGGGGAGCTGGTATAATCAAGGATGTGAATAACTTAGCTTCCTCTCTCCATTTTATTTAAAATAAAATGGGGAAGGAAGCTAAGTTATTCATATTCTTGATTATATATATATATATATATATATATATATATATATATATATATATATATATATATATATATATATATAAAGAATTTGGTGGTGGTGTGTGTATGTGTGTTTGAATTTTTTTTTATTTATATATAATATGCATGAATGGTATCAACTGATAAAATGTATCAGTCAAGATGCTTATAAGACATTTTTTTTTATTAACAGTCTACACATCTGTTGCTCACCCTATAACTGCCAGATTGTTTTCTTTTTCACTTTGCTTTGTCACTTTGTTTGGTAAAAAGGAAAGTTCCTTTAAAAGTCAACATGATCATGTTACTTTTTACAAAAGTTATCATTATTATTGATAATATTGTATTATTTTTACAAAAGATATTATTATTATTATTATTATTTTTTTTTTTTTGCATATATCTTTGCTACATGCAGCCCATATGTGCTAATGTATATATTTTTATGAAACTCTCATACATAATGAATGGCTTTGTTTTTGGCAGTTTCATTATGAAAAACTACTATCATCAGATTATTTTTACAGTAGTTGTTGTTTACTGAAATGTGTCCATTTCCTTTGATACGGGGCAATAAGAATGAGTTTTTTTATGTTAAGTGTCTGCATATTTGCCATTTATGCTGTGTCCAGTTCCTTTATTACGTACTGTATTCAATTTATTTATTTATTTATTTGGGGGGTTGGGAGGACTCCTAAATGTGAAAGTTTGAGTGTGTTTCACCAAATAAGGTATAATGGCATGTTGCTAGTTTGACACTTTGTTTAAATTATGATCACTGGACTCTTCTTACATATTTTTTAGCGGTTAACCAAAGAGGTCAACGCTCATTTTCCCCATCAAGAAGGGCCAATTTTACTCAGTTCCCCAATTCAAGGGTAAACAGTTTACGAGCTCGTGCAAACCCCTGGTACAGACGAGGAAACTTCGGCATGCCAAGACGCGGATACACACACAGGTCTCGTAGGACAAGGTCCAAATCTAGGTCAAGGTCAAGGACAAGGTCCAGAAGTAAAAGCCCAAGAAGAAAAAACCTAGTATGAATATACTGTATTGTTTGCTATTTTTTTCTAGTATGAATATACTGTATTAATTAATTGTTTGATCTCTCTCTCTTTCTCTCTCTCTCTCTCTGTGGCTTAAATTTTGGTTTTACGTATAATGTACGTGTACAGTATGGGATAGATTTCAGTATATTTTTGATTTGTTGTTAAGGTTTTATGAATTATGATAAATATATCGTACAATCAGCAGAATGCCATGCAGGTATTAGAATGTATGATACGTTATTTTACATAATCTGATGTCAGTGAATAATTATGGCTGAAAATATAGAACAATGTGTATAAGCTTGGTTTGCAATCCAAGGGTCAGTATAATTTACTTAAACAACTGAAGATTTTTTTTTTTCATTCTTACAGTCTTCCAGTTACAGACATAGTTTGGAAAGAAGTACGGAAAAAAATGAACATTCTTCCCCAGGTAGACAAAAGTCAAGTGAAAGAAGTCAAAGTCGTGATAAAGAAAGACGGTAAGTTGATACTTGGCATCGGCAGTAACTATAAAGCACTGGAGAGAGAAATTACATATATGGATACATGTTTTAAAAGTTTGCCTAGACTGCCTTTCAATTGAGTTAATAACTTTGCTCATAGAGAGCAAAAAAACTTGCAAAAGTTGTAAATTTTTTTAAATTTCAGTTTACTTTTAATTTTTATTCATTTTTGAATCTAGTAATATTTAGATATAATTACAAATTAAACAAGAAAATGCAAGTTGTACTGGCAGCATATTTATTCTATCTAAATCTAACTTTATTTTACACTGCATTATAATTGCATAAATGATTGCCATATTTTTTAGTCTATTTCATAAGTAGATATCTGATAATAATGTAACTATCTTTTCATATAAATAAATAAAACAATGTTAACATATGCATAAATATGCAACAAAATAAAAAATAGAAACAAAATAAAGCAAAAAAAAAAAAAAGTCGCCACACAGGGGCTCAAACCTGGGCCCTCCTGCCTACAATAGAGCGACCTCTCTACCGCTTGAGCTATGCAGCCTTTTCATCTAAAGCAAGGCACTAAAATACAAGTCAACGTACCGAGTGCACAGTGTCTAAAGATGCCTTTTGCGCACCACACCATGCATTCGTTGAGCTGAAAATACGTATAATTTATCCTTTCCCAGCTGCGCTTTAACACTAAATACTGCAAATTAAACATCCCAATGGCCGAAACGAAGCAACCGTCTGTCATATGATGCATACATTTACCCCCTTATAACACCTACCTCTTCTCAAAAAATTTTTTAATGGCTGCCGTTCAACTGCCTCTTCCGTTTTAACCATGCATGTTACGGGCACACAAGCCCTATAACGTGGCAGCCTACTTGCACAACCATATACTGCCTGACTGGTGAAAAATGGCCCGACCAACCAATAGACTTGCGAATTCTTTGCATGCAATAAAAACTCTAAATCACATTGTAAGCCTTGTATTAAACATTATCAAAAAACAGAACTTTGTAACAGATTTTAATAAATGAATTTGTAAACTGAATCTGTTATTCCCCCTCTTCACAAAGCCTCATTCAAAACTGAACCCACATTTGAATTTGATATTTTCCAAAGTTTATATTAATTCACACCATACTGATGCTTAAAAGTTCATCCCTTGGCAGGTCTCTAGCATCGCCACAAGGTGGAGCCACTAGGACATCACCAGGTGGCACCACTGTCAGGTCTTCTCCAGGGTCTCATTATTCCCGGCATTCTGCGTCCCAAGAGCGAGATTTCCATTCCAGTTCGAAGTCCCCAGAACAACAACAACAGCATCGCAGGTTGGAGGATGGTGTCAAGTACATGAAGAAAAGCAGTGATAGTCGAAATGTCAGGACAAATAGTGCAAGTTCGGCCAATGGTTTAGATGCAGAGGCGCTGACTGGGTCACCATTGGTTCTTCAAACAGCCTCCAAGTTGAGTGAAGAAGAAAGTAGTGATGGATTGGCCTCAAAGCGTTCTCAGCAGTTTAACATGGTGCTAAAACCTAAAGTCCCGCTGCAGAAAATTAACATTTTAGACACAGATGCCCAGTCACCGCAAGATGTTGGAAAATGGATTCATGACATCCGAAAGACTGCAGAGCCCTGTGGTGATGGCTCTAGTAACAAAAATGAAACAAACAGTGAAGTCCAGCAGTCGCCCATTTCGTCTCTTGATGCCAAACTGAAGGAAAGAATGGGGTCCAGTAAATTTAAGCCATCTTTCACAGTCCAAAGTTCTGATGAAATGGGCCTTGCTGGTGATGAGAAAACGGTCGAAGGTCATCCAGGATCGGAGGTGTCAAGGTCAGACGGAGGGAGTAGCAAACCAGCCATGATGTCAGGGAAAGAGTTGGGCAGGGGACAGGATGTGAACAGTGCTACAAAGAGGAGGAGGGATGAAGAGTTGCTTTCAGAGGAGAAGAGGAGGAAGAAACTTACCGAACCATTTCAAAGTAAGTATTTTTTTTCATTATCGCATCAAATTGGCTTTATTTCTCTTTCATAAAAGACATGAAACTGGAAATTGCACCACCTCAATGGCTCTTTCAATAAAAGATACTCCCATTTCACCTTGAAAGTGTCAAGATGGCTACTGACATAGTTGAGGCAGAGGCAGAAACGGTACAGCTGTGCAGCCCCCAGCACTGGTGTTGATATATTCCCTGTTTTCTTCACTGTCTGTAGCTAGCTAAGCAGTGAATGCTCCAGAATATACAATGTACTAGATAAGTGTTCAATATCTCATTGGAGTGCTAGAGGCTGATCTTTTCAAGATGACTGTTCCTGGTAAAATTGACATTTGTATTTTATTAATTTATATGTATCAGGTGATTAATATATTATGTCATATCAGATGCCTCATTTAATGATAAATTTATGTAGGTGCTGCAACAATTGTCATATTGAATGGTATTCACATGCTGTTTTGTATGGTGCCAGAACAGTTGAGTAGTAGTAATTTACTTGAATAAATGACATGTGGGTTGCAATTTATGAGTTATTTATTGAGGTAATGGTTACAGTGCCATTGTGACAGGTGTTTAATTCTGACGATTACCTTATCCACGTGTCATCATTATTATATCACAAGGTGCTCTGTGTGTCTTCTTTATATAATCAAGTTTCTGCCCAATATGTCACTTGTTACTCTGCTGTGAATTTGTCACCCCTTTTTGTACACATATTGGATTAGTGCTTCATGTTTGATGGTCTAATTACCATGATGGGGTGCATGAAAAACTTGAAGAAATGTCTCCCGCAGATTGTTTTTTTTTTAGAGGAAATTACATTTTACAATAATTCCTGTATTTGTGATATTTTTTAGAAGTCGACTCTTCAGGTGAAGATGAATATAATCACAAATACACCAAAGATGTCGACTACAGAGTGGTATGGAGTAGGCGACCCTTACCGCACACCAGCAGCTCTGAGAGGAATGGCACTCAGGAACACTTAATGGAGGCCTCAATGTCAGATACCGACCAATCAGGGGGGAATCGTTCCAAGGGCACTTCAAAGCCATTGGTCAATGGAGTTGGGAACCATCTTGGGCTAACAGTGGAGAATATGAAAATGCTGATGGCCAAGAAGAAGGAAGTTGAGAAGGTTTGTTGTGCAATAAATAGTTTTGGATACACCAGTTGCTTTATTTAAAACTTCTCCAAACACACACACACACACACACACACACACACTTTTTCAACATTTTAAGGTTGAGATTAAACAAACAAGTTTGATATATATATATATATATATATATATATATATATATATATATTTTTTTTTTTTTTCTCTCCATTTTTGATCGTGTAAGCTCTGAGTTCACATAACTTTCTGCGAGAGGCAAACTATTCTTATGATCTGCTGAAGATATTCCCAATACAGTGATGTGATTTATAGAATACTGTACTGACTTTCATATTAACTACATGTATGCTTTTACCAGTGGACACTGGCCATTTAGTTCTCAACATTGATAAGTGGATACTTACTTGATACTTGAGATGGAAAACTGGTCTGTACATTGTAGTTAATATCTTAGGAAAAAGACACTTGTTATCTCATATTAGACTCTGTTCACATGGAAAGTCTATTTTCTAAAAATCTATTTTCTATTCGCGGTATCTTGTAATCACGGTCCCTGTGCCCTGAATATCCCAAGAATTAATTACAGCTTTGGAAGTAACTGGCTCGCGCCGCCAGTAATTACGCCGCGGGATATTCAGAGCACATACGGCGAATAGAAAATAGATTTTTAGAAAATAGACTTTCCATGTGAACGAAGCCTTAATGACCTAGATATATACTCTATCTATGCCTTATTCATGCACATGTGGCTGACAATTATATGTGCAGTTGAAAGGAAACAAGGTTGTGTGACTTGATGATAAAAGCGTGACTTTATTCTTCAGGCATATAGACAGGACTGTGAGACATTTGCTACAGTGGTGAAGATGCTGATCAGGTAATAATATTATATAGGCAAAATGCTTACATAGGCATGTTTGATGATAAATGACCAGATGGTAATTTAAAAGAAAAAAAAAAGACCTGCAGACTAACACTTACTTGTCAATACAAATAATTACCATTCAAAACTATTGTATAACAGAATATTTTCATATGTTCTTATTATGTACACATAATGTTAAATCAGACTAATTACTAAATGATACAGACTGTCAGTTTTGTTTTAGTATTATACCGGCTCCCTTCCTTCTTTACATCACATTCAGAGGTACTTTTAGTTCTAATTTCTTTTTTAAGCAAAGACCAAAGTCTGGAGGAGCCAATCCAGAGAAGTTTGAAGTTGAACCTGCAAGAGATTGGTCAGCATTGTATTGAAGAAGTACAGCATTATATTGAAGTGCTGCAATCATCTCAGCAACAACAACAGCAGTCCTCTGAGTAGGGCTGACATGTGCCATGTACCCTGATGTACCACATTCCATGATTGGCTAAATCTCCAATTCTGGGGACTTTAGGACCATTCCCAGACCCTGTCGTACTAACTGTGGATCAGTCTATCTCCGAGGGGATTCCTCCTAAGTTGCAATCAACTTAAGCGGCTTAGATGTCTGTCAGGCCTACTTAAGATGCTAGGGGGTAATTATTTATCGTTTAGCAGCTTCAGCAGGCATGCCAGTATTTGTCTTGTTTCCATCCCAACCTGAAGGCACTGTGCGTATTTACTGTGAGGAGTAGGGTAGGACAGGGGGTTGGGGAGGAGGGATGTCAGAAAGCAAGGATTTGGACTTATTAAATAATTGAAAGATTTTGGAATCTTTTAAAACCATTTTTTGGCGTGAAGACAGGTTGCCATTGTCGCAATTTGATGTTATTACAATCCAAGACATTAAGTCTAGAATGACGTGCTGTGTCAGTTTTAAAATTTACGTAAATGCTTGTATGTGTATGATCCTGAAGTGGTTATTGTAGTTGAAGATTATGAGTATGATTCTTCATGATTCTTCAATCTTGGGGAGAATGTCTTGAACTTAGGCTGACATGCCACAATTTCAGTGATATTTGTCTGCATAAAATTTGTTGTTGGTTAAAAAGAAATTCATAACAAAATGCATGAATCACCGAAGAGATCCATGTGCTCGGTGCAAATAATCCTGCCATATTTGAGATAATTGCCATATATGACTATTGTATATTGATATTTATTGATTAATTTATAAGTTTGATTTTTGTTTTATGTTTTAAATAAAATGGGAAATTGAAATTTAGGAATTATAAAGCCTGTCTGTGGTAGCTCCGTTGAATTTCAAATTGAGACGAATTTAATTATTGAATTTATTAAACATTTCTACACCATAGGTTTAATTCAGTCTATGTGGTTTTGCCATTTGTATTAAGTAGCTGCATTTCTTTCAACCAATATCTCTAGTAATACCTGGATTTAGAGTAATGTTAGTAGGAAAACTTTTGATCAGTGATTATTGAAACTTTTTTGAGTGCTCAGGATGTGTTGAAATTTTAACCACTTATTTTTGTGCCTCAAAGGCTGTAGGTTCACACAGGTGATGAAAAAAGTAATACAACTTTAGCTTGGGGCTCATTTGTTTGAGAGTTCACTGATATAATTATACAGAATGTGCAGAGCACAGCTGAGTAAAGTATTTTTGAAATGTAGAATATCATGTGAAAATAGAAACAAAATTTTGGCAATCTTTTTTCACAGGTTGTCGTGGTTGATATTTAAGAAAGCTGGTTTAAGAAATCAGTGGAACAGTGTGCTGTTTTAATGAGGTGTAACAATGTCAGACATTTTTTTAAGTGTTCTAGATAACTTACGCATCATATTAAAGGGAGAAGTTGCAGTTGCCATGAAAAAATTAGAGTTAATTTTGTATCTCATATTTTTGAATAAGTCAGCATTGCCAATTGATTGATGAATTTTGTCCTATCTCATGTTTTACATTTGATTTATAGTTATTTAAATCCATGTTTAACATGAAACACTGGGTGTTTAAGAGACTGAAGCTTTTTAATGTGAATTCCTAGTTTTATAGAAGTACAGTGAACCCAGTTGCTACTACTATGTGTCCCTAGAAGGGGGTTTTCTTGAAAATATTTTTGGAACTTGTATGTTTCATTCTCATTGAAGCTGGCAGCAGTTAATGTTATCAGGTACAATAAAAACCCAAGCTTACAGTGAAATGACTTCCTTTGTTATTAAAAATATTTTTCTTGTATTGGTTTTGTCATCATTTGTTTTATTTTCAAAATGAAGAAAAAAAAAACTTTGGATCACAGAAACCTGTAAGTAAACCACAGGAAAACTGTAAAGTACTGAAGATATTTTACAGTACACTTCCATAAGCTCAACTGTAAATCGATAAAAGAAGGCTCGAATCTAGGACCCATTGTTTGAAGGATCCTAGCATGTACGTAAGATTAACAAAACCATTTCATTTTCATTGCAACATACGTAGAGTTTCTTCTGATTGCTCAGGATTTCTTCCAACTACAATGGTTCACATCCTCTAACACAAATTTCTTCAATATAATTCTAAAACTGGAGCATATGTTTCCATTAGCTAGTAATTTGGACTGTGGAATTTGTAGAGTTCATAATTTGCTTTAGCATATAGAGATGGTTGAAGTCACTCCTTACTCTTCTTTACTGTTCAATTCTAATCTTTGTTTTTCTTGTGTTTCTTTTTCTCTTTTTTCTTCTTCTTTTTACTGTGCTTATGGGGCTTGGCATCTCCCTGGAGATAAAAAGTCATATGCTTTAAAAAAATAATTTTTAACATACAATTTTAACTACTCTCTGTGAAATAGAAAACTGCAAGTCCATGCACATTTGGACAAAAATGTTGACTGCCTTCATGAGAAAATGAAATTTCTTTTCATCAGATTATTCCTTCCACATTCATATAAGACTTATGGTCAATCCCTGGTACTCTCATCATATTTATTTTAAAATAATTTTCAGCAAATTTATTGTCAGATAGAAAAGGGGGGGGGCATAGGTATCTCAAAACTTTCTTTATTATTCACTGGAACTTTTTCCCTTTACTTAACTTCATAATAAGTTTGAGGTTGCAAAAAGTGAGAAACTCTTGAAAATAAAAACTTGTTTTTAGACAAGATTAGTTTTTAAATTGTTGTTGCTGTACCTGGTTATATTCTGTCCCTGCATCAACACTGTTGGTGAGAGCTCCAGTCTTGTTTGCATCCTCTGCAACTTCTCTTTCCTTTGCTTTTTTCTTCTTTTTCTTCTTCTTTTCAGTCTTTTTCAGTTCTGAATGCACTTCAAAGAAATCACAATTATATGAAATTGAAATATTACATATAAGATAAAATAATATATTTCACATGGCATAAAATTGCATAATTTCACAATCTCTTGAAATTTTACATAAATGAGAATGTTGTGGAATAAGTACCAACTTTTAAGTACTAACAACTCAAAGCATTACTTTATACCATTCAAATGCATAATCTTATGATTTAAAATGCAAATACCATTGCTCCAATGGAAAGAACATACCCTTTACAGCCTTCACAAAGAAAGATTTTGGTTTTTATTGATAATAGGAACCACGTAAAAATAAACTCCACTTACCACTGCACACCATTTCCACTGGTGAATCTGAAATTTATGGAAAAAAATTTATGCATCTTAAATGAGCAAAATTATGGCATTTTTTAACAATTAGAAATCTTTTTTTTTTCATGGAAACCCCTGCTTTCCTCGAATATTGTCTTAAGAGATTCATTTTTTTCATCCAAAATAGAATGAGGCAAATGATGTTAGATTACCTGTATGTGCAGATATTTTCAACTGCTCTTTGCTGCAGTCTCCTCTTCTCAGACTCGATGTTGTTTGTTATAATCTTGTTCTGCGATGTCATTTAAAAACCCTTTTCAAGTCACCTGATATTTTTTTCAAAAGATATCTTCCCCATAACACTTACCTGATCCAAATGGCTGAAATCTCTGCCTCAGCCCAGGTGGAAGGTCATAGTTCCTGACCACTGGTTCTGGGATCTGGACACTGGGCACTTGGACTGTCTCCACAATGGTCATACGGCCGGAGAATGGAAGACCTAGGTGTAAGTGATATAAAGTTCATCTGAGACTAGAATTACTATAATTTTATTTCTGAATATTTGAGATATAAATAAATAATAAGTAAATCCTTTATTCAAAACATTTATCTTTAAGGAAGACCTAGGTGGTAGATAAAACAAGTTGATCTGAGAATTACTATAATTTTATCTCTTAAGATTTGAGATAAAAATGAATAAATAAATCATTTATTTAAAATATATATATAAATTTAAGAGACCGGATTTTCGTTTTCTATACACATCATTAACTTTGGGAAGAAGGAGTGGTTTTCATTGAGCATCCCCCCCCCCCCCTCTTTCTTCCATAAAGCTCAGTCTGATGTAATCCCTATCAACTTAGTTGTTGGACATTATACAAAAAATCCAGCGACTTTGAGAACTTTCATTTCCACATAAGGGGGGAGGAAATCTTCAGAAATGGATGAAAATTTCCATCCTTGATCTATATTTTGCCATTTACCTGTTTTCAGTTTCTGGTCAGCTTTCCTTGGCAACAGGAGGTTCAGGTTGGAAGTCTGGGGAAATAATGACTCATTAGCAAATAATTATATTAAATAAATAAATAAATAAATAAATATAACTGAGCAATTACCACTTTATTTTGTTTTGGTGTCTAAATGAAAAGAAAAATCAGTATTTTAATGTTAGCAACAGTGCATTGTTGTAAGCATATTGGTTGTAATTTCTCATATTTATATTTACCACTGTAAATGTACTTAATTGTTATCAACTACTGTGAGATTCATTCAAAACCAAGTAAACAAGAATCAGTTCTCTTATGGTACCAGTTAAGACTGTTTCAAGTCTAAAGCTGGTTCCATACAATACCTTAAGTTATCCCAACAAATGATGTACAATACTCACTGAAAGACTGTCATCTCTGCATGATAAAACTTCATATGTTCTTTCCTAGGGGAGAAGCAATAATTACAATTAAAATGTGGAGGAGTGAAGAATGTAATACAATGTTATTAAACACATGCAAACAGAATATATTCAAACAGACAACAGAAAATTTATGATTATATTGAACTATATCATAGTTGGCAAGTGTCCAAGATATATGATATGAGACCCTCTAAAATCTTGGTTCCCCCTAACATAGACATCTGAAAGCCCTGCACTTCCAGAAAAACACAGACAAATTTCAAGGATTTAAATCTACAATTTGAAAATGTTTAAATTTTTTTTTAAATTTCCTAATGCTGACAACTCAGCAGCAGATCCTCAAACAACATGCAAAAGCAAAATAAGACAAAACAACTTCCATTCATAAGGTCTAAAACTAGATGCTAGAAAACTAAGAAGTTAAGTCTTGTGAACCAAAGCTCTCTTTAAAATATCACCCACAAGTACAACAAATCCTCGGCTTGCCTTATCTCCATTCTTCAAGGGTTGTGACCCATTTAGTATAACACCCTGGCCATCCATCTGACTGACATCAAACTAAAATAAGACAAATATCCATTATTACATGTGGCTGCATTATGTTATATCTATTTATTTATTATTACTTTTTTGTTGTTGTTGTTGTTTTATTTTATTTTTTTTTTAAATATATAGTTTTTGTATAAATGTTCAAAACAAAGATTCATGATTCACTGGCCACATATGATACATGCACTTGTTTCTTTTTCTTTTTTTATTCTACTAGGAAATATGCATCAATGAAACAGCCATTTAGCATACCCAGTATCACTCTTATTTCATCAATATAAAGACAAACAAAAGCCATAAAACTCACATCTACTGGAGTCTGTATCAACCAAAGCTCTTTTCCCTCCTTCATCACATCTTCGAGATAAATTCTGTGTTTACTGGGAGTAAAATCAAACTCTGTCATATCCTCAGGGACTGCAAACCTGAAGTAAAATTGGCAATACAGATTACGGTTTCAACCCTTGGCAAAATGAAAAGTTTTTGGCAAGGAGTTTGCAAGAAAAATTGGTATTGTTGCAAATTTGCAGCTTATTTTCTGCAAATCCTTTTTGCACATTTTTAGCAAATTTGAGGCAAATTTGCCAGAGAGTTCACAACAGGCCTGATATTTTGCTGACAGAAGCTACCTGCTACTATGTGTGTCCTGCATAATATTTTTTACACTACCAAAAGGAAACTTGCTATTACGATAAAACAGCAAGAAAATGGAAACCTAAATAAACCTATTTTAATCCCCAAAACTGATAAATTCCAGATGTTTGACAAAAGGCAAAATGATATGCATCCACATAAAGAACTAGATCATACCTGAGTTGTCTTTTCTTGCCACCAGATGGCGCTGGTGTACCCTGTACATCAGGAACCTCCACCTCACTGTCACTGCTCTCTGACATATCCTGTACTTTGGAGGCACTTTTACTGGGACTACCCATCCCACTCCCTGCCTTCCCTGCTGGAGAACACTTCTGTGACGGCTGCACTTCTTCCTCAGAGTCATCTGAAGACCCTTTATGGTCTTTACTCCCAGAAACAGGAAGCCTCCTTTTTCTCGACTTGTCTAAGACCGCAGAGTCAGTCTCATTCAATCTTGGCCACTCTTCTGCATCTGAAGACATCTCATGGTCATTAGTTTGCGAGATGTCAGGGTTCTCATTATTTAATGAGACTGAAATGTCCAATTCATGTTGGTTTGCTGAAAATTCACTGCTGATTACAGACTTCTGTGCTTTACGTACACCATTAGTTTCATGATTTTCTGTATTTCTCCCTTCAATGGCACCTTTTTTAGTTTTACTTGGACTTTTAAAAACAGCAGACAGAGTGTCATCTAGCTTATTTTTGTTTTTGTCACCTTTCTCTTTTTTCTTTTTCTTTGCTTTGCTTGGGCTATCACTTATGTTCTTTTTTGCTGTTTCCACATCATTAAGAGAATCAGAGGTTGGCATCACTTTTTTAAACTTAGCCGGACTAGTTACAATGTTTTCCATGAACCTTTTCTTAGGTAAGTGTGCTTTCCTTGGTGAACCATGCAGAGAAAATGAAACCTCACTTGCAGCATCTGAAAACTGGGAATCATCTGCAATTTTCTTAGCAAGATCTGACAAGTCCTGATCAACATCTGACTGTGGCTCATTATTAGGTTTTAAAACATTCTCAGCCTTATTGTTTTCTTTTTTTTTCTTGGGTGAAGCTTTTTCCCTGAGAGCTGATTTTGGGCTCAAATAGGCAGTGATTTTAGCTTGTGATTCAGTTTTGATTTTCTTTGTCTTTGGAGTGGCAAATTTAGAATTTGGGAGCTCAGTGTCACTCTCTGATGTAGAGGCCATAGGTTGACTGGCAGACTTCCCAGAATGCAGTGGTGCAGATGGCATCTGCCTCTTGCGTTTCGATGTTTCTGATTTTCCAGACAGCATTTGAGTTTGGTCTCCCTCTTCACTTTCACTTGAAGAAGATGATGAAATAATGTGAAGGTTTTCCTTTGTCTGTTCCTCAACTAATGGTTTGGTGGGAACCTTTTTTACTGGCACTTGTACCTTTGGGTTCCGTAGCACTTCATCGCTGTCTTCAGAGGAAGTAATGGGTTGAATACCAGAAGACCCAGACTTCAATGATGTCTCTGAAAAAGTGAAGTCACAGCTAGAAACTTGGTCCTTCAGAAGCTGGCTTGCACTTAGGATTGGGTTGTGCTTCTCTTCTTAGTAGTAATTTACTTATAATGATAAAAAGCATCTAAAATCTGTTTAAATGTTTTTCACCTGAAATAATTAACTTGATTTTTATATATGCTAAAAAAAACACACACACACAAACACAAGAGGCATTAATTACAATTCCAGAAACAATCAAATCTTTCTTTTATACATTAATCCCTTGTTATCTCATTTTTTCCTAACAACATGCAAAAATGCCAATGCTTGTTTTATTATTGGCTCAATCACTACAATGACACTTAACTGCTACATGATAAAACAAACAATTACTTTCACTTTTCTCTGAGCTTTTCTTTTTCTTGTGCTTTTTCTGTTTACCGATCCCCTCCTGGTCACTGGCTGTAGAGATGTTTGACTCTTGGCTGGACACTTTGGTCAGAGGACTAAAAAAGGCAAACTTTGGGCTAATTTCTGAGCGTTTGCTCATCCCTAGTGTGGAGCTGTATGTAACAGGCCTAAAATGGTGAAATATATGAAATACAAATACAGATCCCACAGTCAGGGTACTATACATGTACACCAGTCCTGTAAGTACTGTATCTGTGTACATAGTACAAATTAAGTGTCATGGATTAAAACTCCTATTGTAGTTTCTGATATGTACTAGACATAGTGCATATAGGGAATTCTAAATAAGAGTGCTAACTCAGGAAACTTTGTGCTACTGTACATGTATGTGTGCCCTCACCAAAATGCTACATGCATGCACATGTAGTTTTGAGTACTAACTGTACAGTACTTGTAGGACTAGTATTTTAATATAGTGTTGACAACTGCTCGCACCCAGTTTCAGTGTTGCTTTTGAGAGAACATAAAACTTTAAGAGAGAGATGTTGGGATTCAAAGCATAATAGCATTACAATTAATTCAGTCTCAGAAATTGGAAATTTACGTGTACATATGCAACTACACTGTTTGATTCCTGCCACACTGCCGATAATAGGGGTCCTTTAAATCACCTTTCTGGTGCAAATGTAAGATTATTTTTATGATCTAGAACCCAATTACGATCTCAAGGGGGTTTACTATGCTTAACAGGAGATCTATATTGGTCCATTTCGCTCCATTTCTATCCATTTCTACATTTTAAAGGACCGGATAATAGTAATATCATATGGTTAACAGAGACAGATATTAATTAAATTCAGATTTTTAAAAATCTTTAACAACTGACATGGTTTGCTCTCTTGCACTTGAAAGTCAAAAGCTTAATGAGAACCTCTATCTTATAATATTATATATAATTACAGTTTAACTGTGCCTCTACTCTGGAGACAGTGAAGTGCACGTTGGACTTTGAATGATTTAAATCAAATAAACAACCTACATACTATTCAAATCTAAAGGGGTTCAAATTGAAAAACAACTAGTTCGTCTAGACACCGTATACATATTTATAGCAACGAGCTGTCGCAAAAATTGCATAATACCTGTTATGATCGATCGCACGTGCCGATGCACGAGAAATTTAACCGGAAGAAGAACTCTTTTGTTTAAAGGAAGGTAATATGTTTTCTGAGGGCAACAGGGATTATGCTCATAAGAAGAAAGATGGTTGAAATTTCTGGATTAAAAAATATCAGAGAAAGCAATTAGTTGCATCCATTTGATATTATTATAGAAAAAGTTGTAAAAGTATTAGTAATTTTGTACTAGTAATACAAAATTGACATGTAGTGCTCAAATTTTTCCTGTTCCCTGTGTTAGAAGCAGCTGGCGCTAATCTCAAAACAACAGTGTTGTTGAACCGGTCAGCAAGAAGTGGAATTTTCAACCTTGTAAGTAGTAGATCGTTTGTGCTTGTTAAATACTTTTCAGTTGAACGCATTTGGTTGATCTGTTAAATATGTCAATTTGCGAGCGATTTTTTACCCACATTTTTCTCTTGCATTGTTTGAATTTGAGGGGTGTCACAATGTCAAGCTGACACGATAAACGTTAGATATCACGTGTAATCACAAGTGTCAAGTGGCAATTATTATCTTCATACCGACTCTTTTTCCCAAAAAATTATAATTTTTGACAGTTTAAAACAAGAAAATCAAATTCATTAGCCTGCCCATTTAGGAGCAAGTCCTTTCTCCATGAAATTGTTAAATTTCCCTATAAATGCTTTGTCTTCCTGAGCACTGTTATTATCTACAAACCCACAATGAGTGTAATTGAGCCACGTTTCAGCTCTCGTGATATTTCCTTTTAAAAAAGCTATGTTTGAAAAAATCAGTTTTGATTTTGAAGAGAAAGTAGAATGGATTTCTCTATGCAGCAACAATTTTTTCTCCAGTGAGCCTGCCATTCAAAGGAATTAGACAAAAAATCACCTGCTGAGTGTAAATGGCTATCAGCTCAAGAGGCTTACATGTCTGTCATGCCTACAGAATCAGCTAGGGTGTAAAGATAATTACCCCCCAAACAGCTTTACTAGGTGTGACAGACATTTGAGCCGGTTACGTCGATAGCAAATACTGTTATTAGTATCATTAGTATTTGTAGTAATAGTGGTAGTAATAATAATAATAATAATTTTCTTTCTTTCATTCTTTCTTTCTTTTCTTTTCTTTTAAAGCTCTCTCTTAACAGAAAGAATGTAAGGGGTGAGTGATAGTTCAAGAACTTTGGTCTAGTACTTTGGTCGGCTCTTTTCTGGTCAGTCTGGGAGAGGCCAACAATAGGTCAAGGTCAAATTTTTGATTGGCATGTTAAAGTGACCAGAAGATTCATTCTTATTTATAACTTTGCATTATCTCAGTGTGCTCAGTCTTCCTTAAAATTCCTTGCAGCCAGACAGCTGCATTGCTTTGGTCAAAACAAAATTGGAAGCAATGGTTATTGATGAAGTTGGCCTAAACAAACAACAAACAAACTTGCACCGTTGAAAATAACCCCTCCCCCATCTTCAGCAGAGTTGAAAAATAGATATGTGATATCCATTTTTGAATTGGACAAAATTCCTGTTGTTAAATCGTATACCTCTTGAACTTTGAGAAGGAAAAACATGTTGTTGTTGTTGTTATTGCAACTCTCTTCTCCCCCCCCCCCCATTTTTATTTCCGCAACCCCATATTGTGATTTCAGTGCCACAACAAATAAGTAGTAAATTACATAAGAAGTAGTATTATGTAATACTCTTTAAATCTTATAAATATAGCAGGTGTGACAGTCTATTTAGTATCATTGCGTGGCAGACAGAAAAAGAACTCAGATGATGTACCAGGTAGGCTGACGATGAATGTTACTGACAATTTTTATGAAAGTTTTTTAATGCATTTTTGAAAATGTAAAAAATTTAATATGATCAAAACATATTTGTGCATGTTTATCATTATCACTATTCAAAGAATGGTGTCAATCATTATTTTCAAACTAAAATACTGCTCTGGTTTTAAAAACCAGCCTGATTGGATTGTTTTACTTGAAGTTATGACTATTCAATTTTTTTATCAGTTATTATTCTCAAGGTGTAAAGCTGAATTCCAATTGGTCTGAAACCCTGTGCTAGTCTATGTTCTGTATGCCAGTAACAGATAGTAACTAATTAAAATTTAGCATTATATTGCATCAGGCCTGTGGCCATTGTGGGTTCAAAAGAACCACCCAGTTTGTCAGGAAAAGGTCCATTCTGGGTAAAATTTGATATAGTTACACAGGGGTTTCATTGTAAAAGGCCCACTTTTTCAGAAAAAAAGAACCCCCCTTTTTGAAATTGCTGGCTACGGGCCTGTGCATTAAGATTGACAAGAAAAGAATTTCGTGCATTTTCATCATGAAAGTAGTTGTTCATCATTTTTATGTCACTTTTCCTGTCAGTTTTGTCATTTATATATACCATTGCATCTGGCAGCTTTTCTTCCTTGATTTCTGTTTTAGAGTTGAGTCCATTCAAATTTTACATTAAGTGCATGTTTTGATGGAAATTATGTTTTTTACCCTGCTATAACAACCACATGTGTCAGTTCAAGAGACTACATGTTGACTCGTTTCCTCCAACAAATGTCAGAGTATGTCACTTTGACTGCGCTCACAAGACTGAATTTTATGACTCACATCCATTGTTTGCCTTCATTATAAACCACTGCTTACCTGCATATGTATTGTAAACAAAAATCATATGACTTACAGATCACATGACCACCTGAATATTTTCACGTCTTCTGCTAAATTTTTGTAATATACCTGAGTGAGCATCTTGATAGGAATGTACCAGATTATACAAGTGCATGTAATTGACTTGGAGGCAACCTATAAAAGAGGGTGTGTGGCCCCCACCCCTACCCCCAGCCAGCCATCCCAAGGGCCTGGGAATTCCCCTTTCATGTTAAGGTGAGGTTGTAATCTATAAAGTTCTGATTATTGTTGAGCTGATATGATAAGACCAAACATGCTTTTGTAAATGTTATAAATATATGGTAGTTATGCAGCGAAGTGTCATTTTTCAAGGTCAATCTTGTTGAAAAGGTGATTTCTGCAGTAATGTATGATTCAAGAAAGGAAATTTTAATATAAAAAATTTGATATTGACTAAATGAATAAGTGATAGCATGACATGTCCATGTGTTTGAGCATGCTTGTGTGATACCGTCTTAGGCTCAAAAGAAATTTCAGGGTTTGTTGATTGGCAAATTAAGGTGAAATAAATGGAAAAAAATCCCCCCAACACTTTTTTGGTTAAAATTTGTATAAACACTTATAATGACGATCATTATTAATATATGCAAATATCATTCATTTTATCAAAATTTAAATAAAATTTATCTGGTATATTTAATATAACAAATGACCGATGAAAAAAAATAGTCTTTAAGTTGAAGGCTGTGCTATAAATAGTACTGAAATTCAGCTTTTATGTAAGATTGAGTGAGGGCAAAGAGCATACATACTAATGCCCCCAGTTAGTATTGAAGTCGTAGGCTGGTGACAAAACACAATGAAGATGTCACTTTGTCTCGTCTGGAGTAAATTTAGCAGGATGTTTTTCCGACTTATTTCGATTGTAAAATTGGCGGAACTGAGCATACTTAACATCCAATGTCAAGAGCACCCAGAATGATGTGGGGATGTTATTTACGCAATAACAATAGTACGTAAATCTGCACCTGGCTACCCACAACAACAAACCTGAACACAAAGCTGTCAAATGTACAGATGTAAAAGCAAAAAAGTGATGCCAACAGTAGGGGATTTAGTCAATTTTGATGCAATATATAACATATTGTTTATTTACAGCCCAATCAACACCGATTTTTAATTATCTACTATATGTAACAATGATATTCTGAAAATGTAATAAGCATATGGCTTCATACCCAGCTAGGGGAGTTCAGTCACACCTTGAAAATAAGAATAAAATACGAAAATTTCACAAAAAAATGCATTGCTTCAGAAAAATACTCTGATCAGGCTGGTTTTTTTTTTTTTTTTTTTTTTTTTTTCAAATTCCATTTGTATTTTTATAATATTGATCACTCTTATAAGTTTGAAGACAATAGGCAAACAGATTTTCCGCTTAAAGTCATAATAACTCTTCATTTTGGCCAAAAATTGGATTTTCCTGGAGTAAACGGCAATTTTCCCGTACTTACCAATGGTCAGCGACCCCATTCCTGCATTCAAAGTTAATCCAGGGTTTTTTTCCTAAACGTACGGTTTTTTGTTAAAATCTCTTAAGAGATTTTAACTGACGGAGCTCTCTCTGACATCGCATAGTCACTGTTGACCTACTTAAAACCGCGGGAAAAGCAGACAACAACAACACTATATAAGATTCATGAGTTATATTCGTCTTTTTGTTAAAAATACATTAATATCCACAATGTGTGCCATTCTGGGCTTTTCGTTATCCGTCGCACTGTACAAAAACTCGCAACTTACGTCTGCGTCCGCATTAATGCGTTTGGCGCCAAATGTTATTTTGGTCTCAAATGAACGCGAGAATCCGCGTGACACCATTACGTCATAAGCAACGAATGCCTTGATGAAAGCATCGAAAGCCCTATTGACAAGCACAGATTTTATTTTTACTACAATAACGGCCGTTTTAGTGGTAAAATACAATAGAATATATTTCCATGCGTTGTTTACAATGTATTTCATGCGGAATTTTGAATTTCAAAGGAAGAGTTATTATTGCTTTAATGTGTTTTTTTGTATTGGATGTACCGGTATATGGTAAAAAGAGTAAAAAGAAAAAAGAACAGCATATCATTTGGACAAATGGTTCGGTCAAGCTATTTATGAACTCGACCCGTATTGAATGGATATTCATCAGTTGTGTAAGTTTGAAGATAATATGGAGGCAGGTGATGGCCATATGTAAAGACATGGTGAGTCTGTTCATAAAAATACCCTTTGAAAGATATACAGAGAAACATTTGAGATGACAGAAAGCATTCAATGAATAAGTCTTTCTTTCTCTCTTTCTCTCCTCCCCTTCTTGCAGGTGTTTTCTGTTTTCTGCCTCACTTATTTCTGGCTGGTGATTGTTTGGGTATACCCTGATGTCATAGATTGTTTTTTTCCAGGCCCAGGTGTTGTATTTTGGTATGCTTCACTTGCTGCTTAATACACAATGTTGTGGAGAGCAAATAGCAGTGTCAAAAAAACAAGTTAGAAATCCATAGCCAGCTTGTTGATTTTTCTTTTCAATTTAGGAAGCGGTTCGTGAAAATCAGGGTAGCGTGTTTTGCACTTCTCAACCTATCAGGTGAAAGTTCAATAACCGAAAAGTTTTCGTAACTAGTGACTTGAAAGTTGAATGACCTTGCTTTAATGTGTTTTACAGTCTACATGAGTCTGTACGTGAAAACAAATAGTTAAAAGGTGACTCTTTTAGTAATAATGCATACATTTGTTTTTTGTTCTTCTCTCTCTCTCTCTCTCTCTCTCTCTCTCTCTCTCTCTTTCTCTCTCTCTCTCTCTGTTAATAGCTGCATTTTAAGGTGGTGCTAATACAGATAAAGAAATCAAATGGCCAATTGATGAGTGTTTTTTCTGTACCTTGCTTTTTTAAGGTAAATGCACTTTTTTATCATTTTTAAGATTTTCTGATGCCAGATGACAAGGGTTCTATCTTCCATGTCAAATGGATTTCTAATGATCTTCACTGACGTGTCCAATAATTGAGGGTTTTTTTCATGACTTTTGAACAGAAGGCCAATGTACAGTGCAAGTGTACTCCTAAGTTTGGATATTTTAATGGAATTGGCTGTTAATGACAAAATTAATGGAAATGCTTGGGACAGTTGTATTCACACCCCCTCCCCCCCTTTGCCCATCAGGTCAGCCCTGCAACACAATGATTTAATGTCCATTTTTGTTATCAAATTTGATTTCAGAATTTGAGTTACCCGGTTTATTGATTCAGAAATGTTTCTGGCATTTGTTGCTATTTTTAGCCTTTTTAAAGAAAATATTACATACCTGTTTGGTTGTTTACCATTGTTCGTAATTGCATTTTCGAATGTTTTGCTAGCTGCCTGCAGCCAAGGGTTATCGTGGCCTTGGGGTATTGTGGGTAACAATAACCGCTGGTACAATAGATAACAAAACACCCTATTCAGAGCTGGCGTGTCACTGAACTTTCATGCAAGCGGAGATAATCTCATGGGTTACCGGTATATTTAAGTTGGATCGGCTGATAATTTTGACAGTGCAGAGTGCAGTTTAGAGGTAGTGCAATTATGGAAGATCTACTGCAGATTTTTATTTTATGTTCCGTTCTTTACAGGTAAAGGGAATGGATTGACTGGTTTGGGTAACATTAAGTAATACTGAGGTAAGGTTCTTAAAGCTTTTATGGTATTTATTATTAATAATTGAAATGATATTAATGTTGATTTTGCTGATAATGTTGACAGTGATCATTATAATATTTATAATAAGAATTATAGTAAATACATAATAAAAGTTCTTATAATTATGACAGTGATCATTATGAAAATGATATTAATAATGATAATAGTAATATACTTAATGATATGAACAATAATGATAAAATTGATTAAATGATTGTGGTGATAGCATTAAATTTCCCTTGCCATCAAGTATTTGAAATTGGATACCCTCCTTAGTTAAGGTGTCTTCAGCCTCTTGTAAATTCTTTTGTCATTCTGAGACCCAGTAGTCATAATAACACATTACCTTTTCTCTAGTACAAAAGATAATTCATTTACTAGTAGGTTTTGGAATTTATTGATTTATTTAAGTGAGAATTAATTTACTAGTAGGTTTTGGAATTTATTGATTTATTTAGGTGAGATTATTTTTGGCCTTTTTGTCAGTGATTTCATTGAAATAGCTACAGTATTTGGTTCCAAGGGGAGTAATAGATATGCTTTTTTAATTCTCAACAATTACAGTGCGTCATGCATTTTCCTATCAACTACTGCATGTATCATACTATATTTACTCATGACTCTGTATCCTGAATTATTTATTCATTTATTTTTCTTTCTTTAAGCCATTGCAATTTCGAAATCTTGACTTTCATCTCATGCAGCCTTCTGGTACTATTGGTATTTTTAGTATGTCCCAGCTGCTGGTTGCGATATTTTTTCATTTTGTGTATTGATTTTTTGCAGGCGATTTATCACTGTGGATGAGCATTTGGGAAACATACTGAACTGTGCCAACAATTTTACTAATGATTATATGCTTATGTGACCGAAAAATTGTGAGAGGATTGCTGTCTATATGCTGCTCGGACTGCATGTCCCCCTGCATTTGAATTGTATCCAGAAACATGAAAAGCATGAGCAAGCAGCTCTGCCAACCATCTTGACTGAGATAGAGACAGGGGAAAAAGATGAGTGAGAACAAGGCACAGAAATGGAATAGGAGTTTTTTCTCTTCACTTACTACAGCACGCGTCAGAAAATGGAGGTCCAAACCCAGGTCCAAATCTGACGCCACTACCCTTGATGGGTTGGAAGAAAAAGGTAGCCGTAAAATACAGAAAAACAATACCAAGAATGGCAAAGTTATCAGTAACTCTAATCCAGAGGTGCAAAAATTCAGCATCTCGGTTGAAGAGTTTCAAATAGAAAATAATTTGAACACCCGAGCGTTCAGAAGCAACAGCTGCTGCTCCAAGACAAGCCATGAAGATGAATCAATGCCAAGTGAAAGTGAAAGTGAGAGGCAGGTCTCACCTGTTTTGCCTGTGAAAAAGGAAGAGAAGTGCCAAGCATTAGCTGCTGAATTGGAAGCGTGCACAAAACCCAGCTCTGTCTCCTTGCTGAACATGTTACGAGACTTGTCATCTGTGATAAAATACAGTAAGTGTTTTGATGAGAATTTCTACATGAAGTTACTATAAATGCTATGTTTTTCATTAAATTCCATGTCAGTTCAAGCATTTTTGCTAAGTGATATTTAGTTTTTTCATAGAAAAAAAGAACATAGATCTGATTTATGCAAAGAAAAAAGTTTGATAATTTATAATAATAAGTTTTCAACTGACAAAGAGTGCAGGACTTGAGTCTTGCACTTGGCGCGTTTTTCACATTAGCTGAAATAGATGTTGTTATTTGAATTTGCTGCTGTAGATAAATTATAGAAATTAAGGTTGGATTTGGGTAAAATGTAACTTTCATATAGCCAGTATGCATTTTAATCCAAAAAGCTTCGAGTGAACAGACTTTTAATTGCATGATTCTTTGAAAAGTCATTCATTTAATTTTTTTCCAGACGAGTGCATAACTGTGCTGGAAGAGATATGTGAAAGATGTTCCTTTGTCGGTGCAATAGTAGAACAAATGAAAAGACTGCCCAAACATGTCGATGTTCAGAAGGTAAGTGGCAGACAAGAAAAGGATGCACAGTATTATTTCTTGACCTGTGTTGTAAAATGAAAATTGATCTTAGCAAATTCTGTTGTGTGTTTTGGTGGTCAGGACCTAGCTTGATTTCACAAAGCATCTTTAAAACCCCCTTTATACTGGACGGCATCCTTTCTGCGTCCTGTGCAACCATGAAACTGGCATCACTGTGGTTGTAGAAAGGAGACGCAAGCATCGCTTTGGTTGCAGAAAGAATGCTCAGTGATCAGCCAGTTGTCGATACATAAAGTTTTTTTTTAACTCTCAAAATGGGCCATAGTACTGGACGCAGAAAGGGCGCAATTCAGTGTAAAGTGGGCTTAAGGACAAGGTGGTTATCTCATTTTTTTATCTTTTAAGCAAGCTGCTAGAGCATTTTGTGATTGTCCTGACTGATTTTTGCACCCCTAGTGGCTGGCAACAAAGGGCCATTTAGGTACATCAGCTACAGCCGTTAGGGGTCAATTGTTCGTAAAACTCTGATGCGAATATCCTAAAGGCGATTTTACATCGTTGGCTGGCCAAGTTAAGTAGGCTTATCTAAGCCTGACTTTTTTTTGTGAAACCTGACCACCCTTGGTCTAACTATAACAAGCTTATTTTTTTACAATCAAGTCAAGACCAACTTCACTGAGAAAAGAAATCTGCTTACCGTAAAATGTGCCCAATACCCAATGCGTTTTTACATTTGAAAAAAATATTGAAGAAATTAGCAACATTAGTAATACTAAAAGGTGTGAAAATAAACATATTCCTCAAAATTAGGGTTGGTTCTTCTTCTTTTAACTTTCCAGTTTTGCCTATCTTTATCTCAGAATACAAAGGTTTCTGCAGTTGTAATTCCCCCTTTTTCACATATTTTGCCTGGAGGGGTGGGGGTGGGGGGTGGGGGATGGGATGTCAACTTGGCATGTTGGTTTTTACTTGCATAACTATTTGGTTAACCCAAAAAAATATGTTACACAACTTGTTTTTCTGGAAAAGAGTCATGCGTTATAAAAGCATTAGATAGGTCAGGCAGAAGTACCTGGTAGTATTGTGTTGGAGGGTCACCAGGTGGTGTTGATTGTCATCAGGGCGGTGGGGAGGGGGGGGGAATAGATAACAATAGGCTAAATTGAGTCACATAATGCTAGGATCAATCAGAAAGAGTGTATTTTTAAGTAAGTATCATTACTCAACATTATTCAATGTTTATCACTAAGCTACATGTACTTCACTTCTTTTATCAGAGGGGCCTTCAGTAAATCTAAGATCTAATAAACGGATATTGGTATGGTATATTAGATCTTACAGTAAATGCAGCCATCATCGGCTAAATTTTAAACATCATACTTGAGCTTGTCCTATTCTTTTAATTGTTATGTCATTTTATTTAAGTAGGTCTAGATCAAGGAGACATAATAGTTGTTGTTGTTGTTTTGTCAGTGCTAGATTAAAGTTCTGTCTGTGTGTACCATACAGTCACTTTTATATAATCTATTATATATTATATATAGGCTATAGCTGGAACTCCAAGTACTGCAGTCTTCCAGTTTTTGCCTTTCTAATCAGTGAAAGACAGTATTTTCAGTTTTTTTTTATCCTGCATCAAAGTAGATCAATATTTTAAGGTGAATGACCAATTTTGCAGTTGTCTAAAACAAGGAAATAGCTTTATTTATTTATTTATTTATTTATTTATTTATTTATTTATTTTGTAAAATCAGCTGGTTAGTTGAGTAAAATTTCAGTCCCAGTATTTAATAGTATGCTGGCTTTGTCTGACCCCTGAAATTTAACCCTCCCCCCCTTTTTTGTTTTCTTTTTTTGTGGCATTTTAGTGCTGGGGTTTGTACCAGATTTTCATCTTTGGGGCATTTTGAATGCCATGTAATTCTAAAAAGGAGGTGATATAGTCAGTGATGTTATTATGTTTAAAATGATTGGGATAACTTTTTGTTTAAAATAATTATGCTCTTTTCTATTGAAATTTTTGCCTACTCTCATAAATAAGTAAGGAAGGGGAGGTATTTGTTTGGGGAGAAAATAACTATATTTAAATCATTTCTTCTCAGGTACCCGTACTACTTGTATTGGCTTTCTCACTGAATGTTAAAAATAGGCCTAAAGAGGCCAGAAGTAACTTGATAGTGTTGCTTATTATGTAACACCATCCCAGGGGCAGAGTATTCATAATATTTATTCATTAAGTTAATTACAATGGAATACACACATCCCAGAAGGTGGAAATTCATTCAAATTAAATTAATTATTTAATTTAAAGAAAAGAAAAGAAATAGCTGACTAAATTAATAAAAATATTACAGCAGGCTCTGTTGAGAAGGCTGTACAGTAAGTGTTACATGATAAGATAGTGTTGAGAGGGTCAGGTGTTGTTTGTCTAGCCAGTGAATGCTACTAGGCTGAGAGAATCATCAATAGCAGTATATTATTGTACTGCCAGCTGAGTCTCTCAGCCAAATAGATTAGATATATCTAGTTTTCTCCCTGCAGCCCAAACAGCATACTAGTACTGTTGTTCAAGATGGAGAGTATTTCAAAATTAGTTGACGTTGAAGGTCAGTAATTACAGTGGCTGGTGTGATTGGAATAGCCATATATTAGTGGATGAAAGGTTGCAAGTGCTGCTTATTGAATATGTGCATTATGTGCTGTTTGACTGACAGTGTCTTTTTTCCTTTGTTGTTATTATTGGTTTAGGATCTTATTTCAAAGCAACATATTTAGTCATCTCTTGATATCCGGACCAGAAAAAATCTTCTCTTTACTCCGTTGTCATGTTTGTAAACATACTTGATCACAAACACCTATAGACAAAAGGGAACACAAGTGTCTATAATAACAAGAAAATTAGCGATTCTAGCATACTATAATCAAATTAAATGTAGAATTATGTCACTTATTGGATATACATGTATCTCACATAATAAGTGAAAAAAATCATTTTGTGAGTTTTTCTCGTGTTATTTGATGAGAAGAAAAACATGCATTTAGATAAAGAAAGCAGCTGGAAGGGTTAATGATAGCTGGTCAGTTCAGTTAAATTATTTAGTATACTCAGTGTGTCTGTCAACTGCCCAATGTCAGATTTGTACATGGTTAACCAACAGGCACTGATCTTGTTGAGATTATGCATGCTGTGTATGTACACCATTCTTGACTTGGTCAGCTATTTCACTTCATTTCATGTTATTGAATGGGTTGGGGAGATCTTATATAATGATTCCACATAATCATTTGAAGTAATTGTTATTCTTGACAGAATTCACATGCAGGCCAAATCAAGGTAAAATTGAATAGGAAATGATTGCAAGGTTAAAGTCAGTCTATTACAATGCTTTCCCTACAATTATTATGAAAAATTTGCAATTATAGACGCTATTAATAATAAAATATTCAATGGGTTTTAGTAACTATGCAATCTGATGAACAAGAAAAAAATGTAGACTTCATTCAACATTTTAATATTAGTTGGATTGTTTGATGACATAGATTAGTTAATTTTTGGTCGTAATTAATTTTTGCCTGAAATCAACCATCAAGAAACAGTCAGTATAAATAATAAATAATTAATATTTGATACAGAACGTATCCATATACATGTTTTGTTTTAACCTTTAAATGGCCAAAAATAAATTTTTACCACATTGATTAAATGTTGGTAAAAATGATAATTATTATATAAGATCAATATCATGTAAGGAACATTTTAAAATGCTTGTGCCCTAGTAAATGATTTATAGGTATAATATATACTTATACAGGATACAATGCATATTAGATTTGCTAGCTTATAGTGACGTCTATGTACTAATTATCAAAATTTTCCCTATTATATTTCAGTGTGGCTGCAATCTCCTGTGTGACTTGGCCTTTGCCAGTGGGAAGTTAAAACAGCAGATCCAGACCACAGATTGTGCACTGTGAGTAAACAGCTGAGAACATTGATCAAACATTTTTGCCTTTATAGTGGTCAAGACATTTGACACAATGCACAATAGATACCTGATCACTAAAAGGGCTCTTGTCCTATTTCCTGAAACATGACCCTGTTTGATGCCTTGTAAGGTACAATGCTTTACATTATATGCTACAAAGATGTACCTTTAGATAGATACTGTTACTAAGTAGATGTTGTTTGGTAAGTTTGTTTGTGGCTGTATCTATTTATTTATTACTTTTGCAATTCACACTGCACCAAATTTGACAAAAATTCACTTTTTCACTTTCAAAACTTCATGCTTCAATTGTGTTAGAATTGGAAGGATACAAATCAAAAATTATTAATTAAATTATTTATTTATTTATTTATTTATTTATTTATTTATTTATTTATTTATTTATTTTCCAGACACGTCCTGTATTTGCTTGATATCCATGCCGAGAATGGCTCAATCCAGGCAGCTGCCTTGAAAACCATTGGTGTTCTGGCACAGTCAGGTAATATAGACCTTTCCAGATATGTCAACAAATCCAGGAAATCATGTGACCTATGACACAGATATGGGTAGGAAAAGAAGTGATATTTTTGGTTTCAATAATAAATAACATTTATAAGGAAGTCTTTAGTGAAAGCAAAAATTCAATTCTTTGAGCATTATTATATGAGGACAAAAGTGAAAGAAATGGAAAGATTTTGACTGAAATACAGCCAGTTCAGTGGCTTTGATAATAATGATAATATTGACAAGGATATCACATTATACTTGTACTTTGAAGCCATCTGATTGGTTATGTAATAAAACAATTTATCTTGAAGGAAGGAAAAAAATCACATGATGTATGACTCAGAAATTTAGTAGCAATATGATAAATAGGTATCAGTTTATTTCATCATATTGATACCATGTTTAATTTACATGACTTTTGAGACACTGATCATGTTCATGTAGTAGAACCAGTACATGTGAGTATACTTGTTAAAAAAATTCCCATCAAAATTGAATTGTTGTTTTAGGCTTATAGCACATCATTACATCAGTTCTTCTGTGTATTAGCAGATATACATGTACATGTACGTGGAAGAAAGTTAGTCACTAGAACATTCAGTTTTAAAGAAACAGTTAATTATTGATAATAAGTAATAAGTATGTTGATGATAAGGTATCTGTATGTTTCAATACCTGAGAAGGTATAAAGATCTTTGTCAATTAAGTGCAAGTCTAATACAAAAAGTTATGGGTTATCTAAAGTTTATTTCCCCGCCATAAGATGTACTGTCAATTTTTTCATATCTCGATCCCGAAGTGATGAAGAAAACATTTTGTGTAGAAAGTCAAAAAAATCAGAATTAGAAAACCTAGAGTCTTGCAAGAAAATTTGTTCACCTGATCACAAAAAAAGCATATCTTTGCTTTTAAGATTTGTGTGCATGAAGATGTCCAGGAAGATGGGGTGCAATGAATACCTTATCCGTTCCTTGTTTCCTGCTTACCCCGGAATAGATAATCACAAATGCACATTTGGAGGGGGAGGGGGGGAATTTATCTTATTTTATTGAGAGAGACCAGTTTTTTTAGTGCGCACAAACCTACACATACATGTAACTGTGTTGAATTGCATCAAGTATCAATGGCATACGGTTCCAGCTAGAAATGTAGCAATTTCAGGAAGGACTAGGGGATGCAGCCTAACGAAAAAAATACCACACATCTAACGATAATTACCAAGTTGAACTATTTCTAACACACTGATAGGTACTTCATGGTTGGGGTCTTTGATATCAGGTGTATATTTAATTATGATATCATTTTGATGTCATAGCTGATAGGTGCAAAGAGGTGTCCATGAGTCATTTTTCTGGTGATAGCTATTAATAGTTGACTTTCGGTGATCTAAAGACAACATTGATCGTGAACTTTGGAGTCTCTATAGGACTGTTATAATATAACACGTATCACGTATTGAGATATTTGATAAGTCAGTTTTGTAGCGCTATTAACATTAATATTAAGGGGTAAAGAGAAACATTTCGTCCTTTTAAAGTATATTTAAATGTTGAAATTTGTTACAGGTTGGTGAAGCAGAAGGATATTGGGATAAGTAATCGAAGAATACATTACTTAGTATAATATTTTTTCCTTGCAGCCCCTGTGAGACAACTGCTGTTGGAAAGAGACAAAGACTTATTGGGGAAGTTGTTGGTGGCTTTGAGCTCCTTCCAGAACCAGCCAGATGTTCCTGCCCGGGCCTGTTACGCTCTGAGGATGATTCTGGATACAGGTGCCCCCCCTCCCTCCCTCCCTCCCTCCCTCTCTCTCTCTCTCTCTCTCTCTCTCTCTCACACACACACACACACAAAACATTAATGTAATATTTATTAATTTTCTGTTGACTGTTTCTGTCATGAGTTGTTTGTTTTGAATTATATATTTTTGTTTATTAGCACAAATATAAGACCTAAATTTTGTAGCTTAAAAAGAAGTGAACACACAGTGTTAAATGAAAATCATCATTGGCCATATCATATGCCACACTATCATGACTAAAATATCTTACAAAACGAAATCACTTTCCCTGATGCAGACAAAGAGACCTATGACAGCCTGATGAATGGGGAGGAGTATCGCCTGGTGATCGATGCCCTCAAGAAAAACCCTCACTCTGTGCCCGTTGTCCTAGAGGCCTGTAATATGATGAGAGATCTGATGAAACTTGGTAAACTATCCATCTAGATTCTTTTCTTCTTGGGAATTGAATAAAGATTGTAATGATAAGATGTAGAAAATTCTTTATTTATTTATTTATTTATTTATTTATTTATTTAATTATTTATTTATTTTATTTTTGCTAAGTACAATACTTTGTACAAAACTTTTCCTTATCATCTTTTGTATAATATATATAATGTACTGGTACAGATGTAGTATAATAATTTCAATCTATGTTTTCTCATGTAAACGAGCACATTTCTCAGACAAAACATTTATGTTTCTCTCCAGGTAGCCCCCTTCTCCTCCACCACCAGGAGCCAGACCTGGCCAGCCTGATCTGCAAGTGCCTCAAGGAACACGTAGAGAACAAGGAGGTGTTTGTGGCATGCTTAGGAGTGCTGGAGAAGCTGAGCATGAATGGTAAGGGTGATGGAGATCTGAGAGTTAAGGAGAACTGGGTTGTTTTCTTTTGATTATACTTTATTTGTTTGTTTGTTTGTTTGTTTGTTTGTTTGTTTACAGTGCAGGAGATGGTGTAATTGAGCTCCAAAGATAGAAATGTAAAAAGTAGAGACTCCGGTGTGTTGATGAGAAACTTTTTTTTAATAGAGTGTCATGCCACCTAAAGTTTTATGCTGTGTGTGTGTGTGTGTGTGTGTGTGTGTGTGTGTGTGTGTGTGTGTGTGTGTTGTTATAGAGAGAGAGCGACAAAAGTAAGACAGTGGGTGTTATTCCCTGAGGCTTCTCAACTTTTCTTGCCAAAGGTGAAAACGAGATTTTTATCAGTAAATGTCACCTAGCTAAGTTATCAACACTTGTTTACACACTGTAATGTACTTACTACCACTGCCACGTCAAGCAGCCATACGTTAGCTCAGTACTTCAGCATTTTTTGTCGAATTATCAGTGGACTCATGCTGATGTTTACTGTCATCACTTTGTGTGATAGGTATGGATTTTAACATTGATATTCCGTCTTTTTCAGCTGATGTTCAGCAACAGTTGCTGGAGGAAGAATTGCATGTTTTTGTCCTGAATGGGCTGATGAAAAACCCCGAGGATGTGAATCTGCAGGCCTTTGGTCTTGGGGTATTGGCAAATATGGGTGAGTCTTTTCTTGCTGACGCATGTGCATGCATGCATGCATGCACATGCCAGTAGTCATGTTCACTTTCTTTGTAAAATGAAACCATGACATGGGTCTGCACACTCCTTCAAGTTCAGATACTCTTAGTAGAAATAATTAAAATATTTAATGGAAATTCACTACTTATTTAAAAAAAATCTTTAAAGCCCATAATATACCAAAATATATGAGGTTTTTAGTGTTGACATATTTATCGTGATAAAAATTTATGTATTTATTTGCGTATTAAAAAAATACATATTCACAATCTTTAATTATTGCTTTTTTTTCAGGTAGAAAATTTTGTATTTCCCCATTTCCCTTACATATGTTCTCGGTATTTTCCCAGCTGCCTCCGTTCTTAATTTTGAATTACCCCAGTCCTTGGACGAGGAGATGTGGCTGAAGCAGGTGTATATTGCCATGAGGGAGCACTTTGGGGAACCCTCAGTACAGGTGAGTGGGGAGAACTCTTGAAATTATAGCCCTATAATGAGCTTAGCCGTAATAACGTAAAGTTATGTCACGACACTCAGTGATTACGTTTGATTTATTGGATTGAAATAAATGATGCTTGTTTTTGTTTGACCAGATAATTGTGTTATGATAGATAGCCTAAGATATATTTTGCTATATTTGTAATGATAAATTTGTGAGTTTGTATTGTTAGGAACAGAGGAAGCGAGCTAAGCACATGTACTTAAAAGTCTTATTTTTGTTGACAGAGGGGGTTTGCTTGTGTAATAATAGTGCTGACAATGTGAGGTGATTTATTGAGCGTATATATATATCAAGATATTTACAAGCCTTGATAATGTATAATGCACGCCTACCCTTACTCTCATATATCATACTACCATTTTTCCTCCACCCTGAACACAATTCATCTTTGTTAAAGATCATGAAGATCTGTTTCACTATTTTGTGGTTGGAAAATGAATAACAGAGTCAAATGTAAAATAATCAAGTGTGCACCCAGTATGCTCGTAGGTGTGTAACAGAGGCACATGCATTCGTGGCTTGTCACATGTATTCAAATGTTTGATAAGAATAATCTTTGTTCCAATCTCTGCATTTCTATATACCCATGTTGTTTTTCCATGCTTTATGCTTCAAGCAACATATTTTGAACTTCTTTTAAGATAAAAGAGTTTAAGAGTTTCACTGCTAGTGTTTTCTCAGGTAATTGCATTTTTTTTTTTTTTTGTCTTTGCTTTTCTTATTTTTTTAATCCTAAAAATGTTGTACTCATATTTCCAGGAAGTAGCATGCCAGTTACTTTCCCAATTGTTAGAGCACTGCCCAGATCTAATAGACAAAATTGGCGAGGATTCTGAGAAAAACCAGTGAGTGATGATTTATAACTTATGATGTTTTAAACTTTGAACATGTTTCAATGGTGTTTTTTTTTTTAAGTCCACAGATTATTTTTCTGTCCTTGGAATTCATTTATTTCATTTCTTGAAAAGGAAATTTAAATTGATTTGATGTAGGTCTTCTCAAGGTTTGCTTTACATGTAGGTTGACTGCTGTCATATTATACATTGTAATGAAATTTTTACACTTGCAATATCACAGTATTATTGAAGCCACACATCATCTTATGTGACGGTGCATAGTTAACAAGACTACTCAAGTTTCAAGCACTTTAGGTAGAATACTCGCAGTATGTAACAATATCATGCTCTTTTGAACTTGCAATATCATAGTTTTATTATTATTATCTATTTAATTTTATTTATCTTTTTGACTAAGGGATTTTACATATTTATTTTATAGGGACCCAATACACGCTCACTGTCTTGGTGTCATCCTCATGCATGGTCGGGATGCAGATGTATTCATCGCTGCCTGCAACGCCATCTACTGGCTAGCTGCTGATAATAGTAAGTTCAGTTTTTATGTTATGGGTCATAGCTGATTGAGATTCCCTATAAGTGATATTGTTTATTTTTGTGTCATTATTCCTGAAAATATATTGAGTTCCCCCCCCCCCTTAAAAAATAATAAAAAAATATGATAATAAGTAGATATATAAATTTTGTAACCTAAATAAATCACATCTAGTGGCTTCTCTGACCTTTTCAAAATATATAAATCGCAGTTCAAATCATTTGTGTGTGTGTGTGCAAAAATTATTTGTATTGCACACAACAGCATAGCATAATAACACAGTTACTATAGTACTTTTATAGTAATAATGTTTTTTTTTTTTATTTCCAACCTTTACACTTGTCAAAGTTCAAACCATACACTGATTTTAGATTGAAAGGAGCCTTAGGGTAAAGTGGGCATATTTTATTTTATCCCAATAGTTTCCACAGCCTCATCTATTTTTGGGGCCTGTATTATATACTACGTGTCATATCTTTATATTGTATCACATACGATATAATTGCAATATTGTCCGTGTTCCGTTTTAGAGGAATTTCTGACACAGTAGCTTTCTTTGCAGTTCAATACACCTGTATATATTATTTAGATGAATTTCTTACAACAGCTTTCTTTGCTTAAGAAGAAACAATACAGTACACTTATATGTATATTATTTAGACGAATTTCTTAGAGCTTTCTTTGCTTAAGAAAAACAATACATTTACATATGTATTATTTGGATGAAATTCTCACACTCAAGTGCTTTCTTTGCTTAAAAAAATCAAATACATTACAATTATGTATATATACACTTATATATTTATATAATATATTATCTATGTTATGTGTGTGTTCTCATCAGTTCTCACTTACACAGTTATAAGATTAATTTCTAAATGCAGGTGCTATATTGAAATTTAACCTAGAGTTCCCCTCCCCCCTCAATGTAAAGTTTGTTCAAAATTATATTTTGTAAAGTATGAGTACTGCAAATTTATCAGCTACCCAAAGAGAAAACCATATCTAGACCCCCCCCCCCAAAAAAAAAAAAAAATAATAAAATGATTTGGCTACTAAATGATTGTATATAGAACTGATGAAAACACAACATTTCACATCCCCTGTAATCTTTTGCATGTTTGCGCCTTTTTTCTTCTCAGCACGTTTGCGCACATTTCTCACTGATAGAAATGCATATATTGCCATCTTGCACGGCATGAAGCTCCATAAAAAGCTGCCCAAGGCGCAAGAATATGCATGTAAGGCTATACGGGGACTTTGCATATTCAGGTGGGTGCATAGGAGGTTGATTGTCTCATTATAAATAAATAAATAAATAAATAAATAAATAAATAAGTAAACAAATAAGTAAACACTCATGGTAACAAGTATGAATAAGCCTGATGATTTTGATTAGCACCATATTTTTAACAAAGTGCTATATTCAGTATAGTAGATAATAAATGTGAATTATTCATTTTAACAACTCTGTTGAAATTTCTATTGAACATAAAAAAGGCTTACTAAAGTATTCACCAGTTTTGATAAGCGGTAAAAAAGGATTAATTTTTTACAGTCCTGTGGACTAAATATAGGTATTTAAATAACACTGATGTACTTAATATTAAGATTTTTAAAAAATAATTTAAAACCCAAATGTTTATAATTTTTGCTTTTTAAGTGAAGACAACAAGAAACTAATGATGCATCAGGGCACCCTCAACTACTTGATTCGTGCCCTCACCATATTTCCAACGGAAGTCGGAGTTCAGATTGAGGCCACGGCGGCCATTGCCTGCCTCGCTGATGTGGGTAAGTAGAGGACAAACTTGATGTCATGTAAAACATGGGATGTGTTCACATTGGAAGTAACTTAGACCAGAAATTGTCTATCTGATATAACAGGAGGACATGATAGTATAAGAATGCAGTGAAGTCTTATAATTTGTGTCACATGTTGAGCAAAATGGTCGTTTGATGATGTCAGATAGACTATTTTCAGTTATGGTTTTGTTTGGTTGTTCAATATTCATCAGGTTTCTGTTTGGTCAAGAATATAATTGTTTTATTTTGAAACAATAGCATACACATAACAAGAACAAGTGATACTAGATTTTTTTTTAATTTTGTGTTTCAATTTTCAAAACGGATTAAACTTTATAATCTGAGAACTAATCCTTCATTTGTTAATGAAAGTTTACTAATGAAAGTTTTTAAATTTGGATATCTAAGTTTGATATTTTTATTTTGTGAAACTGTAATGACTAGCAAGTGATTTTTTATGATTTTATATTTGTGCATTATAGTATACTGAGACAAGATTTTATATGTTATCTGATATCAAATTGATTATCAAATTAATATGTGACATGTTGATCTTTATTTTTTGCTCCCGTGGAGATGCAACAGGGATTCAGATATTTATAGCAGTCTTATCAGGTATTGGTAATCATTCATTTATTAATATATTGTTTCAGAAATAATGCGTAATGAGCAAGTGTTGAAGAAAGTCCACAGGCGTGTGTTGAGTGCCATGAAGACACATCGCACATCAGATAATCTGCAGGAAGTCGGCATGGAGGCTCTGTCAATCTTCGCTGCTGCAGGCAAGGCCATTTTTCCCTAGCATGGGGTTGAGGTTTCCTCTACCAGGACCACAGATTGATTTTTCATTAGATATGTCTTTAGATTAATAGACGGTCATTTTGCTATCTCTGGAAAATCTGCCTATAATATTTGCCACCCTGGTAGAGGGTAGGGTTGAAGCAAGGGTTTAGCCAAAAAGCAGTTCAGCTATCATGTAGATGGTCAGCTTGTTAAATCCCCCCCCCAAAGTTCAAAGTTCTTGTTGGCTAGTTCCCTGGGTTGGGGGGGGGGTTAATTCTATAACACAAGCAAGCATATAGCTTGTACTTGAAAAAGATGCGCACATACATGTACACTCTCTCACTCTCATTCTCTCCACAGGATACATTGTACTGGGGGTATCAGTGTGGAAGCACTGAATTTAATTCTTATAAGACTTGAGCTGTTGCAGTTAAGTTTACTTTATTTGCTTCGGCCATATTCTATCATAGAAGTAGTTCTATGATCCTATTAAAAAAATACCACTTTTGTACCTTGTATCTTCCAATTCTATGCTAAATGAAATGTTGGTGATAATAGTTAGTATTAATGGTTAAGAATTAAAGCTTACAACTCACAATTGTTCTCTACGTCTGCAGCTGGTGGAGTGCAACTGCTGAACGACATCGAAGCTTTGACACAAATCGTGGATGCCATGAGCCGGTTCAAAGACAGCTTTGTTATCCAGAAGAAGGGCCTGATGCTGATACAGCTCCTGGCAGAGGGAGCCACTATTGCCAAAGATCAAGAAAAGGTGCTCGCCAAAGTGATCATGAATGCCATGCGGAATTTCGAGGATTCATTGACTGTGCAGGCAGAGGTAGGTCAACTGTGTGTACATGCAGGTGTGTCCTTTTATACATGTGTAATCTTAGACCCCATTCCCAGAGGTCAGATCGATCCAACTAGATCGACCCAACTCCCTCGGGGTTCACGCTAAATAGCTGTCAGCCTAGCGAATACGAAAGTTAATTACCCCCTTATAGCTTGTAGTAGGCGGGACAGACATTTACGCCGGATTATCTGACAGTAATCTAGTGAGACTCCCCACGGGGATAGATCGATCTAAAATCTATGGGAATGCGCCCTTAAATAGGCATGTCTAGACACGGACATGGTGAAACTATTGGTCCTACCAGACATGACCAGTCAACCGGACATGACTGATTGAAATACGGTAGGACTGATAAAAATAGTGAGTTGTTGGTCATTTGAAACGAGGAGAATTTTCTGACAAGTATGGCACTAATTCCTAATTCTGAATCAATTCAAATACAATAAAATTCATATGAACATGTCAGAAGAGAAAAGCTCTGCTTTAGTTACTGTTATGTACAGACACCAATAAATTAAAGCTCTTGTGGTAACCATGAAAATATAAAAATTGACGAATACTGTGAATTTATGATGTATTTGTCTTTAACTCATACCTTGGTATATTGTAATTTTCCAGGGCTGTGTGGCTATACAGGTGCTAGCAGAAAACAAGGAGGAATTCAGTGACGTCCTCGTTGAAATTGGTGCTCATGAATGTTTGTTTGACATCCTGGAGGAATTTGATGAAAGACCTCAATGTAAATATTAGTGTAGAAATAGTATGTAGGTCCTTATTATCTCTTCTTTTTAAAGCCTGAATCACTAATGTAATTTATGGTAAGCCTTAGGTGATAAAAAATTTTAAGCTTGATGAAGGAATTATTTTGAGAGTTATTTACTGCTTATTTTGAGTTTGTTGCTAAAATATTCGGTTTTGTGGCAAATGAAAAAGTTAATCTTTTATAAGCAGTCCTGATTAATGATGAAAAATATTTCTAATTATTTATTTATGAACTAACACAAATAAGGTGATTCTATTTGTGATTTTTTTTTATGAATATGAACTCATGGCATAGCGTGTGCTTCCACATATGTATAAATATGTATAAATCACACAATAAGTCACACATACATGTATGCCCAAACAACAGTGTTAGAAATTAAGGCTGGACCGTCTGCCCGGGGCTGACAACTTTCAGAACGGGCTGAAAAGTTTTCCCACCCAGGAGACATTCAGTCCAGCTTCTTTTCAAGATGGCTGGACTTTCGGTCCAGCAACTTATTTTCCTAAAAACACTGCCAAACAAACATTTTATTCAGTATAGAAGTTTGCTTGCTCATGCAGTATCTGCCTAAAGGAACTAACATCTACGTATATTGGACACTTGACTTTTGCAGACTTGCTTGATCTTGCCAGCGAGTGTCTATATGTGCTGAGCTGTGTTAGAGATCTCAAGTCCAGAATGTTACTGACTGCTTGCATGAAAGGCATGCTACAGGCAAGTCCAACTGGTTGACCTAAATATAAAGTAATAAATTTGGTGTACTGGCAATTTCATATTGAGCTTGTGCTTGTTATAATGATATACTTAGGCTCGCTGACATATTAAGAGAATCTGTTTGGATCTTTAAATCATTTGAGGTCACACTAATTATTAATTATGCCAAGACTTGGCATGAAACTAATTGATAAAGTTCTAATGGAACTTTATATACCACAAACAGAAAATGACTTTTTTTTAAGTGACTTTTTTGGTAAAAGTTAAAATTCAGCTTTTTGACAGCATGGTTTCAATGCATGTGTCACTTCATACTGCAGACAGCAGGGATGAGCAGTGTCCTATGTAACCCATAGTTGGTACCCTTATTTCACATGTAAATGTGAAAAAAAAGAATAGCAGTATTTTCAATGTTATTTATTATTATTTTATTAATTTTTTTCCTTCCAGAGTGTGGAGTGTTTGGTGGAACTTGGTGCTGATGTCAATATAGGTTCTGGTCACAGGACTCCTCTGTGTTATGCTGTGCTGAGAGGACATGAAAACTTGGTGAAATTTTTGTTAAAACAGGTATTTTTTGCCCAAGATCCATGATTATTTTACTTTGGTAGTGTTTTGATTTTAACCAAGCTAGTTTAAAATGTTGCTCAAAGATTTTTTTTATTTTGTTTCTTCACATCCTATAAGCCTCCCTTCCTTTTAAATCTCTCCTTAATGAAGTATGTTTTAGAAAACAGAAAAGGAGTTGCCTCACATGCTCTAAAATTATATCTTAAAATTACAGATAAGATGTTTTTCCAGTTGTTAAAAATGTTGTCTTATTCATCTTGCATTTCTATCTTTTAAGTGTATGCTTATCTTACAAGAAAAATGAATAGGTTTTTAATAAACTTTTGAGCTTTTATTATATCTTTGTATCACTTTTAAATGTAACCTCACCATATTTGGAAAATGATCATATTATAAGCCTTCAAGTCTTGATTGTGTTTTCCAGGGTGCCACCGATCTCCCTCGCGCATTACGGCTTAGCCTCGAACAAGAAGACAATGACAGCATCACGGGAATACTGCTGAAATACATAGGCCACAATAAGCAAAGTAAGGAGAACCATTGAACAGGATTCAATTAGTATTCATAAAAAATAACGGCTTTTGGATTCCCATTCAAAATAATCTTGACATAGTATGATATTTTTGTATACTAGAGGCCCACCCAATTATAATTATGTACAGACACATTTTACTCACCTGTTTTTTACCTGTTGTGCATAATTAAAATATGGTGTTGACTTTGCTGTTAAGCATAATGTGTCATTGTACCAGAATTGACAGTAGCCTATTTTGGGCATCATTATTTTCTGCTTTTTGTCTGCACCTTTGACAGCTTTGCTGACTTTTGCATTCATTCAGATTCATAGACCTAAATGATAAAAAAAACATTTTCTTCCAGGTGGCCTCGGCTCTTTTAGTGGTCTTAATCTAGGTGCTCTTAAACCTAGTTGGCTCTTCCCAACTTTGACTGGAACCACATTCGTTGCTCCCGTGTCTGGTAGGTGCCTAGCTCTCCAATGAATTATTACTCACTTAAGTGTCAGTTCATAAAGAGAAAACTTGATTTAACTCTAAAATAAAGACAAAATTTTAATTAAAACTCTTACTGGAACTTACATTTGAAATGTGTTTCCACCTTGTCACAACACAAGAAGTGAACTCCTTTTCAAACATATATACTATATATATGACATTCATTTATAATAATTCCTATTTCATCTCATTTTAAAACAAAACTGGTGAACCAGAATTTTCATTTTGACTTTTCACTCTATAGAGGAGCTTGACACAATACAGTTACCTTAACAGCAAGGTATAGACTGGGATGCTTCAGTTAAGAGTTCAAAGTAACAAAATTCTGTTCCAGTTGAGGGGAAGAATATGGCCCTAAAGGTTCAGAGCTGCAAGGAGAAGCGCCGTCAGCGTCAACTGGTGAAGGAGTCCATCCCCCAGGATGCAGCCAGCCCCCAGCTTCAGCTGAGGTACACCTTCTCCCGTGGTCACCTGATGCAGCAGATGAAGAACCCAAACCCTGGACTTGTTTTGCCGACGCCAAAGAAGGCGCATTCACACCCAGGTCTCTCTGAGAAGGAGAGGTGTGGGTCGTATGATGCTCTGGATGGTGCGACGCCCAGGAGGAAGTCTGGAATGCAGGTATGTATAGGTGTGTGTGTGCGTGTGCATGTGTGTGTGTGTGTGTGTGTGTGTGTGTGCATGCACTGCGGACATTAAGTCTGTGAAGTAACTGTGTAAATGATTGTCAACCTTAGACGATTATTTATATATTTATTTATTTTTTCATTGAATCATTTATTTAACTCACCTCTTCAGTAATCTTTACATTGAGCACTTTTCAGCAAGCTTCCCTTTATCATAAATAAGAAGAAGAAGAATTGACCTCAATTTTATTTTTGAACAGATAATGAAAGAACTGTTATTCAAGTCCAGCTCTCAAGATGACAATTCGTATGATGCCCTTCAAGTTAACAAGAGCCAACAAAGCAACAAATGGAGAAGGAAAACCCTGGCCACCAGCAGTTTCAGGGAGCCCAGCCCCACACCAGAGAGTCAAGACCGAAGAAGAAGTTCCCTGGTCACCATAGCGGTAGATGAACCAGGTAAATGAGGAAAATGTTTGGATAGTTGCATAAAGGGGGTGGGCGGGGGGATTTCTTGAATGTATACATGTAGTGTATGCCGGTAACTTTAGTCGATTCTCACATTTAGTTTGTTTTATCTCTTCAGATCAAAAGTTTTATTCTTGACAATTTTTACCAGAAGTGTTGTTAATAGTTGGGTGAAACCAAATTAAGTGCTTGTTTTATAAAAAGAAAGTAATGTCCAATGTTTTATACCAGGAGATACTTAACTATTTATCTTTTTTGTTGTTGTTGTTGTTCTAGACAATTCTAAAGTGAAGCCTCCAAAGTCCCCAAGCTTCTCTTTTCAAAAAGAAGAGTTTGAAGAGTGGAAGAAAGGAAGTGTATCTGGTGCTAATACACCTTTCTCACGTTTTGACCCTCGCTTGACCCCCGAGGCTGAGAGCAAGGACTGTCTCTTAGAAGAAATTCCATGGACAAGTAAATTTGGAAGACAAGGGACGGATATCACCAAGAAAATTGCATCTCCTCTAAAAGTAATTAAATTTTATATCATATTGTGCATGTGTTTTTTTAGAAATATGCTTTGTTTAAAATGAACTATTATTTCTTGGCCAAAACTATGGATATTTGATTTAAAGTGATGAAATATTATGGATCACCTTCTTAAGCCAAGTAGTTTATTTGCAAGAAGATTTCTTTCTGTTGTTTAGACACAAGTATATAGTTTTAACAGCATATTGATTAAAATTATCTTCAAGTTAATTGTAATGAAAACTGAATTTGTTGCTGACTATCAGGTAAAAAATGTACACCAAAATTGTATAGGACATACAGTAGTTTTAACTACCATATGTCCATATGTAGTTTTAACTACCATATTAAAGTGTCCAGTGTAGGAAAATATTTGACCATGAACTAATTATTAATTATAGGTTAATTGCAATCTGTTATAATAATGTGAGAGTTCCATTTTTTCTCCAGCGTCCAAGCTTGCCTGTCACTCCATCTCGGAAGATAACCCGACCCTTGAAAAGAGTGAAGTCCAACATTGAGAAAGGCACTCCAGGTGAATTGACATCTTGTACAGATATTTTCCTTCTTCACCAACACCTTCATATTTCCCTAAAATACCAACTTGATTCATCCTAGCATCACTATTATCTTCTTTGTCAAGTTACAGTTGTCCTCAAAATTTTTATTAATTTATCATATACCTTTTAAATCAATTTTCTGATTTTCTCTGGCAGAAGCCTGTTATATTTTTAATTAGCATTTAAAGAAAAGGTTTCATGCTGGGGTGATCCTGTACTTTCTTGCATTGGATTTAGTCTTCTGAATTATTGATGCTTATTCTTATAATTATTATGATAATTACTCACTAAATTAGAATTTCCAAGATTTCCCAGAAATTTTATTAGAAAAAGACTTCTCCCAAGTTGTAAAAGGCTAACTGGGTTTATCTTTATTTTAATGAGTTAATAATTAATAAAGAGGATAAATCATGAACATTGCAATATTTTTATTCTGTGAGTAGCTATTGTAATATGCTTATTTTTCCTTACACAAGTATGCTTAAATTAAAAGAAACTTAAGGTTATTTTTAGCAAATAGAACATTTGAATGTTCTCAAAATAAAATTAGCATTGGAGTGGAGATTATGGAACACACCAAGTGAATTATGGCAATCAAAATTTAAATGTTATTTGATTTAAGCATATCTCTCAAAACTCTTAAAAGCTTTTTTACACATCTGGTGGTTATATCTTGTTCAGTGGTTTACATACAAAGCTTTTTTTTCTCAGCCTCTTTAGATTTTAAGTTGAGAAATATTTTGTGACTTGTAGTGTACTAATTGTTTTTACATGTTGTCAACATTTATTTGTAGTTTAAAGTAGATATTTTCTCAGTATATGTTTTAACAGTTCCGTTTTTAAATACTGTGAAACAGGAAATTTTCAGACAGAAGGACTGATGAAATTACTGTGTTGTTTCAAATGAATTTACAAATGTACCTACTGCCTCATTTTGATATGATTTTTACCTTTTACTTTATTTTTACACAATTGTTACTTGGGAAGTTGTTTATTTATATTTTTGGGAAACATTGGATATGTGTATTTGTTTTATGAAACTTACTCAGTCTAAGAATATCTTGTTTCACAGTAGCTTTATACCTCTAACCTCACATCATTTTCATTTCATTTCACTTCATTTTGAAGTTACTGAATTCTTGTACATTGTTTGCTATGTTTTGCTTATCTGCTTTATTTATTTGGGTTCAAGGTTCCCCATACTTATTGTCTGTTGAGGATTACCTTCTACCAGTACCAAAAATAGTGATAACCCGTAAACCTGCTGACATGGTCGATACTCCCCCCTCGATTTCTCTTGAGGATCTACTTCTACCACGAAGAAAGTTCACCAATGAACCTGGTCCCATCATCGATATTTCCTCCTTGATTTCAACCACCAAAAATGTGTCATTTTCCCATGTTGAACAGTTTGAGAGCATCCTAGAAAGCAGTTTGGAGTGCTCAGAGAGTTCTATTCCATCTGGGTCTAATTCCAACATTCCAGGTATAATTGAAGCCAGCTGGATACATCTGAATATGTCATTTAGCCAAAATTAAACCAATCACTTCATTTTTCGGTCATTAAGGTGAATTTTTAAAATAATTTATAAATTGATTGGCCTCGACTGATTGTCTAAACATGATGCTGCTGCTGCTAATATTGTATCCAAGGGCGAAGGATGATGATGATGATTGGCCTTGGTGAGGGGTGAGGGGTTATGCTATTTGGTATTAAATTTTGTAAAAATTATTAGCCTCTGTTTTAACTCCCATGACAACTATTATCAGATCAAAAATGTGTGAAAGCGAACAAAAATCAAATCTGCAATACTGGGATCAGAAATAAATAAGTGAATAATCTAAAGTGCAGCAAGTTTGAAATTATCAAGCCAAGTGTGTTGTATTTGGAATTGCTTGAAGTGACCTAGTAATAACATAGCCACAGTAAAAATTAATAATAGTGACTTTCCTTTTGGACTGAATTGCTTTGGAAGCTCTGCTTTGACCATTCTTTTGCAAGTTTGTTGACAATAATAATTAGAATTGTTTTATTAATAAATGTATAGAAAATTTATAGTCTTGCTTTCTATGAGGTTACTTTCAGTAATTTTCTTTCTCTTTCTGCTTACTGATTTTATTTTGATCACTATAGATTAATTATAGAACTTTTATATTAACATATCAATTTTATATAGTTTGTCAATTTACTTTATATTGATTTATCTTGAGAAACAGGAAGCTATTAAAGATTGTATCAGTTTAAATGATTTATAGAGAAGGATTTTTCTATCCAGTTATTATTAAAAATCAATTTCCACCAAAAAAACAAACATTTCTCATTGCCCTAAATGTATATTATACAGAAATGCCACGGAAACGCAGCCTCACCGAAGGTAACCTCCCAGGAATGGTGTGTCACCAGCAGGATCTGGTCTCCCTCGATGTCTCGTCCAACCGCATAGGTAGCCTGAGTGACCTCATGGACAAGTCACTTCTTGTCCACTTTCAAGCCATCCAGAAACTAGACCTAAGTCAGAACCATCTACAAAATGTCCCTGATGAGCTTTTTGAGGTATCTGAAATTGTGATAATATTTCATACAGTTGATTTTTACATTTAAATTGTTTCATTAATTGGGCTGATGGTACATTGAAATATTTCGCACAAGTGAGTGATAAGCTTTTACTAAGTTTGTGACAAAAGAGCAGCTGTTTTTGACATACTGACATTTTTTCCTCAATTTGCCATTTCAGAAGTGTACGTGACTAAAATGAACCGTTTATGGTTCGTAAGTTGTTTTAATTTTTATGTATAAGTACTACTTAGTATATTTTTACTCCATATTGTGATATTAATTAGGCGGCCTATCTGCCAATTCAATGAAGGATACAATTATATGATATATAGTATATAATATGTATTATATATAAGATTTTTAATGTAATTTCAGTATCTGCCAAAACTGGAAGAGCTTTACTTGAGGTACAACTTCATCACTACTTTCCCTGCTCAGGCACTGGCATGTAAAGGGCTCAAGATTATGGACCTCTCCTTCAATCATGTAAGACCTCTTTTGCTATGCTCTTCAATCATGCATGACCCCTTTTGATCTCTCTCTCTCTCTCTCTCTCTCTCTCTCTCTCTCACGCATGCACATACACAGAAGAGAAAGTGAGAGGGAGAAAAAGATACACACTTCTATAATTCATGAGCAAAAATGTTCATTAGCTTAGTAATTGGATCACATATGATAAATATAAAACCCAAGCTGAAGTATTTTCATTCAGTAAGCTTACACCCATCCTGGCCATTCTACTCACTTCATTCTGATGATATCCAGGTTGGAAGCAAGCTAACACTGCGAGAAAATATCAGCTTGTGTTTGATAATTATCATATATGTGCAATTCATATCTTGAGTTTCAAATGAACATGGCCAATATTTTAATATTACCATTATTATAACAATAGTCATGTATATTATGATTAAACAGATAGAAGATATCAGCAAGCCTCCAGCCACCACGTCGTTCTCCATTCACCACTTCAACATATCTCAGAACCGCCTGGGCTCCATCCCTGACTGGATCAGTGATAACATGCCAGGACTGACAGAGCTGGATATCAAGGGGTAGGTACAGGGNACTTCAACCACCAAAAATGTGTCATTTTCCCATGTTGAACAGTTTGAGAGCATCCTAGAAAGCAGTTTGGAGTGCTCAGATAGTTCCATTCCATCTGGGTCTAATTCCAACATTCCAGGTATAATTGAAGCCAGCTGGATACATCTGAATATGTCATTTAGCCAAAATTAAACCAATCACTTCATTTTTCGGTCATTAAGGTGAATTTTTAAAAAAATTTATAAATTGATTGGCCCTGACTGATTGTCTAAACATGATGCTGCTGCTGCTAATATTGTATCAAAGGGCGAAGGATGATGATGATGATTGGCCTTGGTGAGGGGTTATGCTATTTGGTATTAAATTTTGTAAAAATTATTAGCCTCTGTTTTAACTCCCATGACAACTATTATCAGATCAAAAATGTGTGAAAGCGAACAAAAATCAAATCTGCAATACTGGGATCAGAAATAAATAAGTGAATAATCTAAAGTGCAGCAAGTTTGAAATTATCAACCCAAGTGTGTTGTATTTGGAATTGCTTGAAGTGACCTAGTAATAACTAAGCCACAGTAAAAATTAATAATAGTGACTTTCCTTTTGGACTGAATTGCTTTGGAAGCTCTGCTTTGACCATTCTTTTGCAAGTTTGTTGACAATAATAATTAGAATTGTTTTATTAATAAATGTATAGAAAATTTATAGTATTGCTTTCTATGAGATTTTTTTCAGTAATTTTCTTTCTCTTTCTGCTTACTGATTTTATTTTGATCACTATAGATTAGTTATAGAACTTTTATATTAACATATCAATTTTATGTAGTTTGTCAATTTACTTTATATTGATTTATCTTGAGAAACAAGAAGCTATAATTTATAAAAGATTGTATCAGTATAAATGATTTATGAGGAAGGATTTTTCTATCCAGTTATTATTAGAAATCAATTTCCACTAAAAAAACAAACATTTCTCATTGCCCTAAATGTATATTATACAGAAATGCCACGGAAACGCAGCCTCACCGAAGGTAACCTCCCAGGAATGGTATGTCACCAGCAGGATCTGGTCTCCCTCGATGTCTCATCCAACCGTATAGGTAGCCTGAGTGACCTCATGGACAAGTCACTTCTCGTCCACTTTCAAGCCATCCAGAAACTGGACCTAAGTCAGAACCATCTACAAAATGTCCCTGATGAGCTTTTTGAGGTATCTGAAATTGTGATAAAATTTCATACAGTTGATTTTTACATTTAAGTTGTTTCATTAATTGGGCTGATGGTACATTGAAATATTTCACACAAGTGAGTGATAAGTTTTTTACTAAGTTTGTGACAAAAGAGCAGCTGATTTTGACATACTGACATTTTTACCTCAATTTGCCATTTCAGAAGTGTACGTGACTAAAATGAACCGTTTAAGGTTCATAAGTTGTTTTCATTTTGTGTATAAGTACTACTTTACTCCATATTGTGATATTAATTAGCCTGCCTAGCTGCCAATTAAATGAAGGATACAATTATATGATATATATTATGTTATATAATATGTATTATATGAAAAAAATTTTAATGTAATTTCAGTATCTGCCAAAACTGGAAGAGCTTTACTTGAGGTACAACTTCATTACTACTTTCCCTGCTCAGGCACTGGCATGTAAAGGGCTCAAGATCATGGACCTCTCCTTCAATCATGTAAGACCCATTTTGCTATATGCTCGCTCGCTCTCTCAGACACACACACACAGAAGAGAAAGTGAGAGATAAAAAGGTGCACACACAATTATATAATTCATGAGCAAAAATGTTTGTTAGCTTGATAGTTGGATCAGATATGAACATGGCCAACATTTAATATTACCATTATTATAACAATAGTCATGTATATTATGATTAAACAGATAGAAGATATCAGCAAGCCTCCAGCCACCACGTCGTTCTCCATTCACCACTTCAACATATCTCAGAACCGCCTGGGCTCCATCCCTGACTGGATCAGTGATAACATGCCAGGACTGACAGAGCTGGATATCAAGGGGTAGGTACAGGGATATCAAGGGGTAGGTACAGGGATATCATGCCAGGGCTTACACAACTGGATATCAAGGGGTAGGTACAGGTATATCAAGGGGTAGGTACAGGGATGTCAAGGGGTAGGTATAAGGATATCAAGGGGTATATAGGTACAGGGATATCAAGGTGTAGGTACAGGGATAACATGCCAGGGCTAACACAACTGGATATCAAGGGGTAGGTACAGGGATATCAGGGGGTAGGTACGGGGATAACATGCCAGGGCTGACACAACTGGATATCAAGGGGTAGGTACAGGGATAACATCCCACGGCTCACACAACTGGATACCAAGGGGTAGGTACAGTGATAACATGCCAGGGCTGACACAGCTGGATATCAAGGAGTAGGTACAGGGATGTCAAGGGGTAGGTATATATATCAAAGGGTAAGTACAGGGATATCATGCCAGGGCTAACACAACTGGATATCAAGGAGTAGGTATAAGGATATCAAGGAGTAGGTACAGGGATATCAAAGGGTAGGTACATGGATATCAAGGGGTAGGTACATGGATGTCAAGGGGTAGGTATAAGGATATCAAGGAGTAGGTACAGGGATATCAAAGGGTAGGTACATGGATGTCAAGGGGTAGGTACAAGGATGTCAAGGGGTAGGTACAAGGATATCAGGGGGTAGGTACAGGAATATCAAGGGGTAGGTACAAGGATATCAAGGGGTAGGTACATGGATGTCAAGGGGTAGGTACAAGGATATCAAGGGGTAGGTACAGGGATATCAAGGGGTAGGTACAGGGATGTTAGTGGTAGGTACAAGGGTATCAAGGGGTAGGTTCAGGGGTATCAGGTAGGTGCATGGGTATCAAGGGGTTTGATACAAGGATGGTTAATGGTAGGTGCAAGGATTATAATATAAGTAAAAAGATAAGCAGATAGTTAGCTGGTATGAAAGAGAATTTGTCCCAACTCTGAAATGTGACAGTTTGGATCATTGTGACAGTAGCAAGATGTGACAAGATTTTTGATAACAGTTGTTGGAGCAGTTGATAATTGTCATATTTCTTAACTATTGCCAATATTAAAGCTTGCTTAATAACACTGCCAAATAATTACCCATATTATAGTTCTGTCTTGTTTTGTGAATGTTCACAGAAACAAGATCACCAAGTTACCTGACCGTCCACTTCTGCTGAAGAAGCTGCACACATTGGACATAGCTCAGAATTACTTGACCGAGATACCAGAGCAGTTCCTGGAGGAGTTCAATGCACTGGAGAAATTAGATGCCTCCTGTAATGAACTTGGTGAGTCCTGCCTAGATGTGATTTCAGAGCGTTATTTTATTTAGTTTAAAATAAGTTGTATATATATATTCTGCTGCTAAAGATTGTTGCCTTTTTTGGAAGTTGGTTCAGTTTTGTTTGTGGATGGGGTAATATTAAGCCCTTGTAAGTTTTGCAATGAAAATGACTTTTGAAAAGTTTTTTTAAAATTTTGGGTTTAACTTTTAGTATGCAGCATGCTTGTTTTAAATGGGTATATATGGAGCTTTCAGCCATATGAATCAGTGTCACTAACATGTAAACTTGTTAAAATATGTATTACTATAAACTTGTAATTTTTTTCTTTATAGAAAAAGGTTTTCATATAATGGCATTTTTTTTCAGAAAAATTGCCCTCGCCCCAGGTGGCAAAAACCTTGCCAAAGCTTCAAACACTAAAGCTTAGTCGCAACAGACTGGGTCAGGAAGAGGCCCCCTATATCCCAAAGTTCATCCTACATCTAGAGAGGTTAGCAGTTGATTTTAAGCAACATATTTTCATCAGGTGTTGTTTAATATAAATTAAAGCAAGCTGCATTTACAAAAATGAATGTGTAATAAATATAATGAAAGTTTTCTTTCTTTTTGTTGCAATAATATATCATGTGATATGTGTTGTTCATTTAATTGGAAAAAAAAATTTATTACAACGGACACTCATTGCACATGTTGGAATCAATGAATCTTAACATGTTAGCTCCCTCACCTCACATTTTGGCTTTTTGATGGTACCACTAGAGCTAATCGTGATAGTCCTAACAGTGATTTTTACCCTTGCTGGTACCAATAGCAAAAAAAAAAAAGAAAGGTATACACACTCCATTTATTGTGGGACAAATTAACCATTTGTAAAATAATTCCAGGCCAACACTGCAATATAGTCAGCTATATTCAAATTCAGCAAGTCACGCTAATTAAGCCCAAGATTTTAAGACATTCTGTACAACAGTCCCTTTTAAAAACCTTTTCCTTCCTAGGTTGGAAAGCCTAGACCTGAGCCACAATGATCTGACTGACATTCCAACACCCAAAAACTGGAAGACCCCAAACTTGAGGGAATTTTTCCTAGGAAATAATAAGATAGAAAAGGTAAGCTGCCAGACCTGGGTGACATAAGTTCCAGGGGCGGATTTAGGCCGTCTTCTGGGTCTTCCAGTAGATTGTCAGATTTTCAAGTTTACATCAAGTTTATCTTATTGTTTTCTATTGGAAGACAGTCAAAATTGGAGGATGGATCAATAAAGATGATTTGGAAGACTGTCAGGAAATAGCTCTGGATCTGCCCCTGAGTTCAGGTGTGATATCAATGGGGAAAACAATGATATGAACAGGCCTGTAGCCAGCAATCTAAAAAGGGGGGTTCTTTTTCTGAAAAAGTGGACCTTTTCCCATAAAAACTTCATGTACATAGATCAAATTTTACCCTGAGTGGACCTTTCCCAGCAAAAGGGGCGGTTCTTTCGAACCCCCCCAACCCCCCCTGGCTATGTGCCTGATGAAGATGTCTGATATTTTTAAACAGTATTGATTGAAGCAGGACTATAGTTTCATACAAAAAGGAAAGATAAGTGTAATATGCACTGTAGGTTAATTGGGAATCAAAAGCCCAAAATTTCAAACCCCATGGTTAATTTTTACTTATCAGTTAGCAAAAAGAAAGCATGACTTAATTTTACTGAACTACAATGTAGTTCAACCAAGATTAAAACTACAGAATAAAGTATGACAATTTTTCCAAGACCAAGTATGGTGTTGGTCTTAATAAAAGAATACTTATAAAGATATTATTGTGAGATATTACTGTGACCCAAAAGACGTCATTGTCAGAGTGGTATAAAAGAGGGTTTAACACAAATTAATATTTTATCATTTCAGTTAAACCTAGGTGGAGAAGAGGCTAGACTCTGGTCTGGGTTAGAAAGACTAGAGATCAACCACAATGAACTGAGTGAGGTTATAATAGAAGATTTTAACATATGTTAATATTGTATCATTTCAGTTAAACCTAGGTGGAGAAGAGGCTAGACTCTGGTCTGGGTTAGAAAGACTAGAGATCAACCACAATGAACTGAGTGAGGTTCCCAAAGAGATAGGTCTCCTGTCGTCTTTGACATCTTTAGATATTGGTCACAACTCAATACTTACTTTGCCAGATGAGATGGGAAGACTTAACAAACTTTGGGAGGTAAGTGTGCATGTGCATGCATGTGTTTTGAACTTTGTAGAGGTTATCATGGCATCGTTTCTGTGCTATGAACTTAACTGATGACGTGCCACTAAAATTATAGACTATTAGGATTTTCATCAAAAATTTTAAATAGTTTCAAAGATGAAATCTAGACAGATAATTTTAAAATTATTCCTGAAAGAATTTTTGAAACTTTCACTAGTTCACTTGATATGGAAACTTTCGAATAATATTAGCATATTCATACCTGTTACCAAGTCAGGCAGAATATCAGATCTGGTAAATCTTCTACATTTATATCAGTTAAAAGTTATTAAATTAGGCCACGAACCTATACTCTATCTATCAAAGTTGCTGCTAACCGGTTAGAGTAAAAGCTAATGGAGATGTAAAATATTTTTCTTCACTAGTTAAGATATGATAGACTGGAGCTAGATTTGCCCCAAGCCATACTGAAGGGGAGAACCAGGGACCTTATTGTCTACCTGTCTGAGAGACTGAGAAATGTAAGTAGTGACAGCACAAATAAAGAACACAGGTCTTTTAATTTAAAAATATTGGTATTGATATGTTATATAAATCAGCTGGAGATAAAAAAAGAATTGACTGTGGTCATTTGTTGTTTAAACATGCATCCATTAACTTAATTATTTATAATTCTTTAATATGAGTAATGGGTTATGAGTAAAAGGTGCATGATCAAGAATTCCTTGGTTGCAGCCCACTTCTGTGCTTATATATTCTACAGTAGTAATGATACATAATTTCCACTTTAAGATATGATATCCTAAAGCTAAAGATCTGGTTATTCTTTGACTTGCCAGATAAATGAGAAGTTGTGAAGGAAAAGTTAAAATATTTTACAATTTTAAGCCAAATAAGAATAAAGATGTATAATATTAGCATAATTAAATTATTTGTAGCCAATGTTCTGTACTTAAGTTGGCCCAAAATTCTACGTGTTAAATATTACAGGCCTCAGAGCACTATCGTATGAAGATGATGGTGGTGGGATATGCGGGGCGAGGGAAGTCCACGTTGATACGGACTCTGATGAAATTACCCCAACCAGACAAGAGTATAGCTACAGTGGGGGTACAGGTGAAAGACTGGGAGTAAGTAGACTTCTGTGTGTGTGTGTGTGTGCATGCATGCGTGCGTGCGTGTGTGTGTGTACATTTGTGTTTTGTCTGTCTGTGTTTGTGTGCATGTGTGTATGTAATAGTAATTGTGAAACAAATCACACAGAATTATAAAAGAAACTTTCTTTTAGACAACCACGCCCCCATACCAGTAATTAATTAAATTATTTCATCAATATTTACAATATTCACTTCACTATATATGATTTAATTTGCACTCTACAATCTAAATGCAGTCAGGGATTTTTCCTAATGACTGGCATCTCTTATCAAGTGAGTAATCTACTTTAGAGTTTCTCCAAACATTGTTTTCTCTGCAGACTTAATTTGAGATAATGATATAGTTTATGTTGTACTGTACCATTACAGACTGCGCACAGGCCGTAGAAAGCCACCACACTACACACTGAGTACATGGGACTTTGCTGGTCAAGAAGAATTCTACAACACCCATCAGTGTTTTCTGTCCAACCGGTCACTCTATCTGGTCAGTAAAAGAGATACACTTTATCTCCTTATCCCTAAAATACATAGATTCCATTCACCTTGGTTCACTCTTAATGTTAAATGAAAAAAAGCTTGGATTGTTTTAGATTGGAGCACAAGAAATTTTTTTTTGCCTAAAAACAAAAATGTAGAGAAATTGGTACAGCATGTTTGGATTAAGATATTGATTGATTCATGTCAGAATCTGCTTTTCACGATGTTGTTCATATATTTTGATAAACTTTGTCTTTGAATTGTTTGTCCTTAAAAAACATGCATTAGTTACACTTCTTCAGAAAAAGACTTTGCAAAGATAAATTGACTTGTATATAAGATTAATCATAAAATGGTCATTCCTTTCCAGGTGGTCTACAACCTACAGATCGGCCCCTCTGAGGTGGAAACTTTGAGACCATGGCTCCTGAACATCAAAGCCAGAGCTCCCCATAGCCCTGTTATCATAGTGGGAACACACAAAGATGGCCTTGCCAAAGGTATACATTTCTATCATCAATGATTTATCAGTTTGTATATTTTTATGGGGAATAAGGATCTGGCGTGAGATTCATAGGAAAAACCCAACACTGTCAGTGTTCAAAGATGTCTACAAATGTTATACAAGCTTTTTAGAACATCATCCAAAAGCTGGAAAGCAGCATCAGTGGATAAAAGACACCGAATTTGTTATGTTTTGATCACCAAGTTTCTCCATTCAGTGCCAAATATCGGATTTTTGAAACTAGTCTGTTTATGTTTATAGCAGCAAAATATTCATGTATACTGTACCTAGTATATATAGATAATAGTTACTGCAGGCCTGTCATGTTAATTGTCAATATTGTAAATACAAAAAAAAGGCAAAATGGATGTTATTCATTTCAGATGAAAGAGAGCAAAAAATCAAAGAGATGCGAAGTCTGATTTCTGAGCTGTGCTGCAAACCAGGTAATAAAGACTTCTAATTAAGTTGAATCAGTTTGTTGTAAGAAAATGTCCTCGCTTGGAGGTATATGGTTCTTGAGAAAAGATACGAAATGATGATGCCCCATATCTGAACAAAGGTTAATTCTTGAAAAAAAAAACATAGATGTAAGGTCAGTTGTTATTTCCTTTTTTATTTGTTTATTTTTATTTTATTTTTATTTTATTTTTTTTTTTGTGTGTGTGTATTCTAGTTTTTGTATCTGACTGGGAATTGTATTTCTATTCCAGGCTTTCCTGATGTAAAAGCTGTGATAGAATTGAACTGTTGCTATGAGAGCAGTGACATAGAGCGACTGCGGGACAAGATAAAGGAGGCAGTGGAAGGGTGAGTGGCTTCATAATTTATGTATTTGTGCATAATTTTTGTTGTTTGCACGAAACACTTAAAACAAAAAAATTACAACTAAAGAAAATAATAGGAATGATTCACTCTCTTATAGAAAATCATTCAATACACTGGCAATATCACTTAATTGATTTATTAGAAGCATAAGACATCGTGTCTTTCTCTGTGCAAATTAAATCAGTTTTAGGCAGAGTAAATTTTGTTTACTCACATACATCAGTTTAATATCTTATAGTGCACGGATGCTTTTTTATCAAAAGAAAATAATGAAATTTAACACACACACCCAAAAAAAAAATTAAAAAGAAAGAAGGAAAGATTTTATATGCATTATTTGAAATTAGCTTCTCATAGTCCTGATATTGTACATGTATTTCAATTATCACCAATTTTTTCTTTCTTTTTTTTCCTGTATTTATTAATTAATTTATTATCAGGTTTAAGATCAAAGGTCAGCCAGTGATGGGACAGAAGATTCCAGAAAGTTTCATTGTAAGTACAAAATAAAAAGGGTAGATGAATTTTAAGATAAAGAAACAAAAAGAAAATTAAAATTGAATAAAATCCCCAATAGATCATACTGGGTAGTAGTTGGATCTGCAGATAACTTAATAGTCAGTTGTTTAACCTCTGTGTGACATTAAAATTTATTTATTAAAGAATATGAACAAGAAAAGGAAATCTGATGATATAAACATAAAATTTAGATGATTTATACCAGTTATAATGTAAGCAGCATGTGTTTGAATATTTTCAGAAACTTGAAGAACTGGTATCTTATGAAGCCAAGGCACGTGCAACATTGCCCGTCATCAAAGCTCAGACACTTCGCAAGATCATCAAAGATGCCAATCTTGACCTGGATAATGAGGAATTAAAACAGGTCTGTTGTGTTGAATATTTTACAATGAATACTTTATAACAATTAAATTCTGATGAATGCCCATTTATTTGTACATATGTCCCCTTAAAAACCTTCATGCATATATTATTAATTAAATCTTCATATAAGTGAAGGTATTATAACTGAGTTAGACAAAGCGACATGACTAAAGCAGGGGAGCATCCAATTTGTCAGAACTAAAAATATTTTTAGAAAGAAAGAAAAAAAGGAAGTTATAAAGAAAATCAAATTTAGGTAATTGTACTTTCATTAAATGATTCCAGGCTGTTCGTTTCCTGCATGAGTCTGGCGTGATGCTGCACTACGAGGATGCCTCTCAACAACTAGAGAACTTTTATTTCCTGGACCCCCAGTGGCTGGGGCGCATGATGGCACAGGTCATCACTGTGAGGGAGATCAACCCTTTCATTGACGAGAAGGGGGTGAGTCCATATTTTTGTTCTGGATGTTTAATTATTATTTGAAAAGGGGCTACTTTGGTGGTTTTTAGAAACCAAATATTAGTATTTCCTTCTGCTGTTTGTAAATTAAAGTTCAGCATGTGTGATTTCCTTCCTTTTAAATTGTGATTAAGATGTGGTCACAGGCCGTGTTTCTGTAGTTATTTTAGTATTGAAAACAGTCCAGAAATATCTGGAATTATTTTTTTCATATACTGTATGGCTTTTAGAAACCATTGTCAAAAGTTTTGGGTGTCCTTAGCTTGGTAGAATTTATGTAAAAAAAGAATTAAGGTTTCAACTCTTTTAATACATTTTATTTTTGCAGATCCTGCGTAAAACAGATATTAATTTGCTCTTCAATGGAAAGAGGTTTGAAAAGTTCAACTTTCCAACAAGCTTGATACCCCAGTACCTGCGACTCTTGGAGAAGTAAGTGACTAATTGACATGCATTGACATTATTTTATTATTCTGATGAGCGGTAGGGCTCAAGAGTTTAATAAATTTAAAAACTGAAAATAATATTAAGAGTAAGGTCATTTTTAGTCTGACCACCTGTGAAGTAAGTGGCCAAGCAATGCATTATCTTCTGTCACACATTTAGGCCAAACACGGCCTTGCTCTCTAAGTGGCCAGGTCCAGATAACAATCAGTCAGAAGGTAATCGATTAAATAGCAAAATGTGGTCTCCTGCCAGCTTACTTCTAATTGCCTGTTAAATTGCTGAGAAGCAGTTAAGGGTCCAAGGTAGAAAGAACAACTTTCTTGAAGTTCAGAACGTATTTTAAAAGTTGATTTTAGGTTTTGGCATTATTCTGTCCTGAGTGTGTGAAGGAGGAAAAGTGTTAAATCACTCATACTTGGAATTTTTGTTCATGCCATTTATATTGGAAGTAGACATATACATAGACACTGAGGCAGTTTAGCTTGAAATATTTCCATAATATTCCAAAATAAGAACCATTAGGCATAATTGGTTTGTTTTTCTTTTAGGTTTGAAATCATCTTACCACGTGGCAACGATGAATTCCTGATTCCATGTCGTCTGCCAGCAAAGAAACCACCAATCAGCTTCCCAGGATTGAGTGATGTCGTGGACAGCAATGGCAACAGGAAGCCAATACAGATTCAGCGCCAGTACGAGATGCCGTACATTCCACTTGGGTTCTGGTCCAGGCTAATAGCAAGACTTGTAGTGTTCATTCCAAAAATGTCTGCTGTAAGTTTGTTCATTGTTGTTTTTATGAGACTGTAACATTGTAGTCTTGGAAAAATTAAATGTAACTTTTATTCATGCAAGATTTTATAAGAACAGACACTAACTTATCTTCAGAACCAGAAATCATATACGTATTGAACAAAATTTTAATGTTTTCAGTAGTGTTTTGTAAAACAGTTTGACAAATGGAGTGTATCATTATGATCTTCTGTTTCAGAATAATCCAGACTCTGGGGTTGTCCCTGAGACAGTGTACTGGATAGAAGGCATATGTGTCTACTGGTCAGAGGTAAGAATACTACTATTACAATAAAAAGGTTCAGGAATTTTCTGACCTCCCTGTAGGGAAGAAACTGAAGGAGTTAGCTGATTGCTAATCCTGTTAAAAATGAAAAAATTGAAATAATATTGTCTGACAAGATTTAAGGAAATTGATATAAAGATTTTAAGCTGCTGTGGATGATGGAGTACTATAGTTGTAATTTTATGTGAAAAAATGTTCAAAAATAATGTCCAGGCCAGGGTGCATGTGTTTTTATACACATTCTGTAACATCCATCTTTTTTTCACATATACATGTTGCTGTATTTGTGTTAACTTTTATAACTGAGAGTTTTTCAGTTTTCATATTGGCACATACCTCTTTCATTTTTAAATTTATTGTTTTAAAATGCAGCAAAAATCCTTGCTGTTTCAGCTATTGTATTTTATGATTGAGCCATTCTGTAGAGATGGGCACGAGGTGGTGGTTATTACTGTGCCTCTCAGCAAGATGGGGACAAGGTATGTACAGTTTGTGACTCTTGTAGTTTTGCTGTTTTTTTTTTTTTTTTTTTTTTTTTTTTTTTTTT